AGCAATGATTACAAAGAAATATTTAGAAATTATTCTATGCTACTAGGGATGTTAAGACACGGTAATGTAGCGTCTAGTTTACCGAAATTAATATTCAATCGCAGAACAACACGAGACATCGATAAAGAAAAAGTTTCACTTTTCGAAGCCTCTTTCAATGATTTCAGAATTTAAAAAGTTCTTCGACATATACTAGCAAGAAACGCAATCTTATTTTTTCGGTTATTTTTATTTTTAAGATTAATGGCGAATCGATTTAATGCCAAATTCTCTTCGAAACTATTGAAATTTATTTATATGTACAGTGAAAATTAATATAAAGTATGGTAAAAGCTCTCCTAATTTCTAGACATATTACCAGCAGGGAAATTAAGCAAAATTTTCAGCATCTAATGTTATTTTCTGAAAGTCGTTTTCAATCAGAAAAAGAAAGGAACGTTCTCGTCAAAAATTAATCAAACGTTTAGACTTCTGTTCGCTATAAACAGCACTCGTTTTCAAACATTTATAACATCCGGTTCTGACATAAATGATAACTTACATTAATGCTATGATACCAATATTATTTCGTCGTGCATACGTTTGTCATTCTTTCGGTAACGATTTTTCGTGAGTTCACTTATCTTAGCAATAATTTTAAAAGTATCTGAGACGTGTCAAGAACGTTTTAGAAAAATTCTTCAATTTCCCATTCGAAATAGAAATTTTCCACATTTCTGTCAGTGTTTCCCGAAAGTGCAAGACATAATGAAAATTCCAAAGAACTCAAGATACGGTCCCAATCACCTCAGCATTTATTTGTAAGACCAACTTTACTTTAACTTATTTTTATATTATATTATAAAAAATTTCAACTTTTTCCAGCATTAACTTCATAAATCCCGATGTTTTAAATTAAAAAATTAAAGTAACTTATTAAAGCTAACTTGCTACGTTTAGCGTTCACCATTGCTGCAATTTTAACACAGTACAAATATATCTGTCGAAATTGTGGTCTAGTAGGGACGCGCGAATTTTTATGCATTATTAAAAATTAAATTTGCTCTGAAAACTTTGCGTTTATTGGAAAATAACCGTTTAAAGCATTTTGTTGTCTTTTTTTTGCTATAGAGCATGTATGTTTGTACTGGCATGTATCAATGCTGACGAAGAAATCTCCCCAGGACCGCCTGGAATTTCAGATGTACCAGGAGGCGTTCCCTCAGCTTCTGAACAAGATCGTAAGTATTAACAACAATTGCTTCATTCATTAAGGCGATGTGAAAATGGCGTCCGTACGATCAATCGTTCATAAAACTTTTCTCGGAACTGAGTATACTGAATCGTTTGAAATTTCCCCACGTGAATGTAGAGGCGTTAACAAATGTCCCGACACCCATAAAATTTCACATTTTATACAACATTTTTAAAATGTCTGTGAACAAGTTTTAAAATGATTGAATTTTCATGGGTATCGGGACTTTCCTTTGAGCCTCTGAATTCACATGGTCAAGTGTTTAACGGTTCGGTACACGTAATTCGAAGAAAAGTTTCATAAACGAGACGTCTTTGACGTCATTTTCATATCCCCTCGAGTACAGATCTGGCATACAGTAATTTGTAAATTTCGCACCTCTTAAAAATAGGTGGTCAACTAGAAGACTCTTCAAGCTGATATATCGCAAAACGGACTAATGTTGTTATTAATGTTTCAGAGAGTAAAAACAATCCTGTCGCAAACTTATCACTCGTGCACTACCAGTCGTGTTTGAACTCAAGTAAATAATTTCCTGTAATGATTTATTTTAAATCCGTGGAAGACGCTCTGCTCCTTAAAAGAAATGAACGAATGTTGAATCTTTAAGAAGTTCCAGAAAAAAAAAGGCCTCATAAGCTTTCATGTCAATAATCAAACTTTCAGGCTAAGCAATCGATACATGAAACGGCATGATTAAAAAGGAATGTTATCAATTCGATGAACGGATAATTATTAAGATTTATTCAACATCGATATAGCACATTTTACGGAGCAAGAGGAACTGACAGGGATTTTAGAACTTCTGATCTTGAAGTTAAAAAGCTTATTTCTTTTCGTTCAGGTGATATTGAAAGTCGAGGAATTCAGACAATTGTAGCTATCTTGGAGAAATTAGGTGGTTGGTTCATAGTAATGCCAAAAGATGAGAGGAAACCCAATGACCATTCTTGGCAGGAAATCGACAAAGTTTATACACGCCTGACCGGTGATGCATCCCTGTTTAAAATTGACGTTCGTAAAAGTGAGCAATCCCAGGCTGAATACCTTATCACAGTACGTATATTCTCCATTGATAGAAGTCGCAAAAACACACCCATTTTAATTCGAACTCAGAATTAATCTTCACAAATTGCGAACACTATGTAAAAATTGTATTTCGACAAAAAAAATTCCTGACAACTTTATAATTTCTACGATCCTTAATATTTTGTATTAATGTGAGCTCGAGATTGAAACAGGATTACTCGTCACAAATTGTAAGTTTCAAATTTGATGATATGGAAATTGTTATCAGGTTGATGAGCCCGATTTCGCATTACAAGAAGCGTTACAAACCCAGGAATCTGTGGAAGAATATAAACGATTGATCGGAAACGTGGCGAGAATTTTCGTAAAGTTTCAGTCGTCCACCGTTTCCATTGAAAGTATAAACCAGGAAATCGAACAAATGGTCGAATTTGAACAGAAATTATATGAGGTGATGTTTTATTTTTTAATATATAAATTAATTAAAACTAACATCTTGTGTAAATCTGACGTCCAACGAAGTGTAATACGCTCTAGATTGTTAAACAAAAATATTTTAAAAACGGTCTAACCAAATATTATATAATGGCGTCACATGCAAAAAGTATCGCGGTAAAGAATTTAACACGCTATAAATTATACATTATTTTTAATCGGCTTGTTATTTTATGTAACTTTTGAAATAATTGTTTAATACAGATCGCTCAACGTGTCAGACAGATATTGTCGGATAGGGAAGCAACATTGCAGATCTCCCAATTTCAAGAACGGTATAATATCAGAAACAGTGTTTGGGAAGTATCACAAGTAAGAATAAAATTGCGGCTTGTCCCATATCAAAAGGACGATTCCAGTTTACCGGCTTTATTTGCAACAACAATATGACAAAATACTGAGCAATTTTCTCCAATTACCAGTGAAAAGTACGGCTATACTGAAATGTACAGGAATTTCTTTGAATTTGTTTCAGATTCATTGGCTGGATATTATACGGAATCTCTTCCGTGATACGAACGTAGAAATCCACAGCAATGAGATGATTTCTTTTAAAAGCAGTTATTACATATATAAACTCGTGGACGTCCTCAATGCTACACCAATATCTACCATAAGTAATATCCGAACATCCTAATACCTGTTTCATATGTTACGAATTCAATGTAAAATTAATTCTTCTTCAAATTATTTCATATACGTCTAGCACGATGTGTTTCATCTTCTTTAATATCAATAAGTGTGAAACTTTCACGATTATTCAATTTATTTAGTTTGGTCATTTTAACATTTGATTTCTTTGTCATGTATGTAAAACTGGATTCACGTATAATTATAATGCAAGGTCGAAAATCTCGTTACTTACGTATGATGTGCAATAACACAAATCAAATTACAATAAGCGTTATTTTCTTTTATCAGTAATGCATACGAATTTAACTATTTTTGTTTTTGTTGCAGTTAATTACATTCATTGGCACTTTATACGAAATATGCTACAATATGGCGATAAGAATATGGTTGAATTGGACAAGAAATTTAAAAACATTCTGCGGAAATCTGTTGCTGAAGAAACAAGGTTGGTTTAAAATTGTTCTCTATGACTTATGAATAAATTATATATTCAACTAAAGTAATTAACATTCGATTGAATCGTCTCAACAAAGACTCAGTGAATGATACGTTAGTATTTATTTGAATATTTAGGTAATTATATGTTATATACATTTTTTAGTTTTTCTACGATACAGTAAATGTATAAATTTTATCGAAAAAGGTTTAATGTTTACGTTTGAAATACCGCAAGCTTTCTTTTCAGAAATATAATTTGCGAAAAGGAAAGGCAACTTGCAATTTCGATACTTTCCAAAATTCACACGACTGGCAACACTGATATAGCAAAGAAAGACTTCGTAAGTATTGCAATTTGCATGTGGATCAACACTCGCATTAATTGTTACTGTTCTTGAACTTAACTGGTAGGATGAAACTTACAACTTTTGCTTTTTGTACTCAACCTTCTCAACTTAACGAACTTAACAGAATTAATCTTCTACAGCCAAAACTTGGATTTCATTATTTGGACAATGTGTTACTATTGAAAAATCGTGCCGTTAGGGAATCACTGCAAAAATTGAGAAATCCAGATTCGTCGTTAGTAGGTCTTCAGCCTCATAAGGTAGACAGGTAAACGTGTAGAAGAGTTTAAAGAATTCAAAGAAAAGTTTTTAATGTATGTCTCCAAATAAATAAATCTAAATTTTCATTGCTAATAGCACTCTTATACCAGCGATTCCTTCTAACAAATGTGCAAGCAAAATCTGCAAACGAACAGGTACGGATTTTCTTCGCACAAATTTCTACGCGAATTTATGACGGTCTTATGCTGTTGATATCATAAACAAATATAACAATTTTATTATGTAGCCCTTGACTTGGACCTCGTTCATAATTATGAAGTGGAGCCATGTGACAACTTTTACGAATATTCTTGTGGAAATTACCATTTAACGAATTTTAATAATGAATTGACCGCCCTTGAATCAGCAAACCTAAATCGGTCATCAGGTAATCACCCTTATTAATAAATAACATTCAAGCAAGTGTCGACTTGATTCTCTTTTAGTGTTCTGCAGGAAAAACATACAGTATGCATTACATCTGATTGACCATCGTTTTTCATAAATTGATCCTAATGAATATTCAACTTTCATAATATCAACATTGTACAATTAGGTGCCTCGGAATTATTTTATGAAATCCCGCTACCGAGTGTGCCTAAACCACATTGTTGTTAAATGTAATTAATTGTTTAACAATGTAAATTTCAAATTATTTTCAGCAATTTTGAGCGACAGTTTCAGTCCTCTAGACAGCCAGTCACTGAGAAAAGCGAAGATTTTCTACAAGCAGTGCATGGACAATGGTATATCAGCTTTTAGACTATTAAATTTACGAAATCTTCGAAACTCAGTTTGGGTCTATTAAATGAGATTGGCTAAAATTTAATTCGAATTTTTCTTACAGCCATACTTAACGAATATAGTATCAGTGCTGTCCTGGATGTTATAAATTCACAAGGCGGCTGGTCACTGTTGAGTACCAAGTTATCAACAGAATCAACGCATACTTGGCAGAGTATACTCAATTTCTATGCACAGTATGGCATCTTTTCATTATTTAAAATCAGCCTTCGTCCCGTTGAAAAAGCTGGAAAATCAACATGGTATTTGGCGGTGAGTTAAGACTACGGTTAATGAATCTAAATGGTAGTTTTTTTTCGTAATATTGAAAATGGGGATTATCAAAGACAGAGAATATTAAAAATATAGAAATTGAGAAGGAAAAAGAATTTCTCTTACTTAGTATTTAAAAGCCGTCATTAGAATTATTTCCAGTAGATGCATTATCTCGTACATTCGCGTGATTGAATGAAGAATAAGATACAAAAAAATACTAAAGGACACAATTTAAAGAAGGCGAAGTATGCAGGGATATTTTCACGTTACATTCTGTCAAAATGGTACCATTTTATTTAAGAAAAAAAACTAGTATAGTGATGATTAAACGTATCTTGCGATCCATAGTTAGATCCGCCTGATTTACCAATGCCTCCTGGATCGCTAAACAATAAATTGGTGGAAGCAAAATATAGGATGTATATGGATAAAATAGTGGAGGCTTTCTCAAAAGTTGCAAAAGTTGGTTACGTATACAATCCACAAATTGACAACATAATACTTTTCGAAAAGGAGCTCACAAAGGTAAGATTAGTTTTTAAATCTCCAAAGCTCAAAGGATCAAAAATATTTCCAAAAAGGTTCTTTCGACCTCCGTCAAGTACTTCGGCAAATTTCCTCAAGTTTTTGAGATGCCTTCGGACCTCCACGAGTTTTTGGAAGTAATGTCGAAGTGTTAACTTACATCTACAGATTGTTATCGAAAAGTGATTTTTTCAGATTGTGCTACTTAATAATCGCTTTCCATCGAATGACAATTTAAACGATCATATCACTACACTCGAAAATTGGATTTCAATAATGAACGAGGTTACTAAAAGTCAAACAGGGCCAAATATCAAGGTAAAGCTTGAGAAATTATTATATTTCATATTATTATACTATTACTGAATTTAGGGATAAAAATCGAAATTCACTCGTTAGCGGTTGGTAACTAATAAAGAAAAAAACTTAACCTTCTGTCATGTTTTCAAGAAAGTGCGAGTAAGAAGATTAAAAAATGACTAGCATATGTCAAAAAGAATTTGAAACTAAAGAAAAACTTTTCTATGATTCATATTCGATAAAGAAGACATGGTGGTCGATAAAATGTAATGAAACTGGTCTTTCCTTTTACAGTTCAACTGGCTGAACGCAATAAGAGAAGTTTTCAGCCTTACGAACGTTCAAATAAGCAAGTCTACTCCACTTTTAATAACGAATCGCAATTATTTTACTGCACTGGTAAATCTGCTCAAAACCACACCACGTAATAGAATTGGTTGGTATTTACTACTAATTCTTTAAAGTAGGCTAAACATACCATTTAGTTATACATATAAAATTTTACACGAAAAATCAGAGCATTCAAGTTTAACGCAGTAATTATAGTCTGTGTTGTTATAAATACGATTTATACGAAACTATTCTAATTGCTTGTAATGTTGTCAGTGAAATATCTACATTGGAATTTTATCTACAATATGCTTCCATACGGTTCAACCTTAATGCGAAAAATTGCTTCTGATATTAATTTTGAGTACTATGGAATAACAACAAATCCAAGGCGGTAAGTTTTCAAAATGTGTAGGAAATTTAAAAAAGATCCTCTTGTAACACCCTAAATTCCAGGAATCTCGAGTGTACGGAACAGAACCCAATGAAACTCGCCATATATCATGCATTTTTACAAAAACACTTTTCGAAGGAATCCAAAAACCTAGTAAGAAAAATGAATAACATTTCAATGACTTTACTTCCACTTGTTTCGCAACGTTGTAAATATTAGAAATTATTAAACGCTCGCACGCGTTTTTCTCTTATTTAGGCCACTGATATATTTCTGGAAATCCAATCTAAAGTCGAAACAATTGCTAGAAATATGAAATGGTTAGACGACACTGGTAAATATCTAATGACACTAAAATTTGACCAATTAAAATCACATATTGGTTATCCTATAACACACGACATCAATCCAAACTTCGATTATTACTATAGTCAGGTTTGTATTAACTTAAACTATTGTAAAGGACCAGTTTTTGAAAATCAACATTAGTCTCGAAACTTTAATCACCTTATATATAAACTCTAACGTTTATATCCTCACTTTTACAGTTAATCATAAATGAGCAGTTGCCATACATTGATAATATTTTAAGTTACAAGAAGTTTCAATTAAAAAATCAGCTTGAAAACTTACAAAAAACAGTTGACGAGACGGAAGCAAAGTAAGTTACATCTAACTAAATGAGAAACCGGCCACTACTTGATTTTTTGTTTTAGATGGGATTCGTACACTGACATGGCCAACAGATTTGGATTTAAACCTGATACTTACTCCATAAGTACATTATTGTAGATTCTATATTTATATTCCGGCTCTATTTACGTTCACCTATTATAGCGACGTTTTTTTTTTTTTTTTTCATTTTTTCCAGGTTTTCCTGCGCATATACTTCAGCCACCTCTCTTTAGTTTGGATCTACCAATGTAAGTTTGATAAATGTTCACTGTCTTTTCTTGATAATTAATAGCATTAAATTACTAGTGTAATCTCGATTTTGAAGCCGAAAGGAAAGATCACATGATAAGTGACGTTTAAACATTATTAGAAACTAGTATCCGTAATCACGATTTCGCTCCCGATATATGTAAGTAGAATTCGAAATTCATAATCTTTTTTTTATCACTTTTCACCCCCTTAGGGCTTGGTTAGGATAAAATCCTAAAATTGGTTTTCAGATATTTCTATATGTACTCTGTTTAAATAAAAACTAAGTCAATGTCTCAGTGGGTTTCAGAAAAATTAAGAAATTTGTAAAAACACATTTTACTCCTTTTCACCCTCTTAGAGGTTGAAGTTCGAAAAATCCTGTCAACCAGTCATTCAGGGATCTCTTTCATATATGTAGATTAAGGTTTACATTCACTTCAGAAACTTCATGTACCTTCTTATAACTTTAAAACAAATGTTCTCTTAATTTCAGTGCGATGAATTATGGAGCAATTGGAGCTTTAATGGGCCAGGAAATTTTTCGAGCAATTCTCAACGTTTGTAAGTCTCACAGCTGAAATTGCGACAAATTGTAAAATCGCTATTATAACTTACTCAAACATTTGTCACACTTTCAGTCCAATCGTACTTCAACACAATCGACGAAGCCGAGAAGATTGAAGATTTTCATTGCTTCATTGATCAACTTAAGTCGACCCCTTTCGGAACAATTGCTAGCGTAAGTTGATGCTATCTCTGTTTTTATGCGTTTCTCGATGTTGACAAAATTATTCCTCTGTCAAACGATTAAATATTGTTGAATTCTCCAGTTGATACCCGAGAACTTAGAAAGAAGTTTAGTGACCACTGTCGGACTGCAAGCTGCTTATGAAGCTTATAAAGAAGCTTCAAGGAAACAGGGATTCGTGGATAAGAAGCTCGAACGATTTATTCACAGGAGCGGCGACGAACTCTTTTTCATGGCGTTTGCACACGTACGTAAACGTTTGTTAATGAGTCATTTTTAAGTTAGAGTAACAACATTTTACGATGGTTTGGCATCCCACTGATCCCTTCGTTGATGTTCCGTTTGACAGGCTCATTGCACTGTACATGACCCTAAATCTGCAAACTCAGGATATGCTGCTTACAATCCATCACAATTAATAATACTGGATGCAATCAAACACAGCAAATTTAAAACCGCTTTTCAATGTTTATCAACACAGCAGATGAGTTATGAAACTAAGTGCACCCTGTAAGAGAGTTAACCTGTATCTCTGAAAATGTTGACCTTCTGTGAAAATAAATAACTATTCGGAAATGAGTCCTTATTAATATGTGAGTCCAACCCAAGGGGCTATTCATTTGGAAATCAGTGAAAATTATTTCCTTGTTTGAGATCCGCATGACTCTGATTTCATATAATAAATAACAATGCGATTCGGTAACACGTAACGTTTGGCCTTAAAATTGTGACAGTGTTCGGTGATTTCCAACGATTTCCACCTGATCTCCACATGATTTCAAGCGTTAAAATCCATGATTTCCTGAGTGAATACCCCCTCGGTCCTCTCAATCAAGTATCGATTTATGATCTGTGTCTGTCAGCGTAGCTTTGAGTACTTGGATCAGGTTGGAGAATCGCTCTCTCGATGGGCACTCACGACACGATCTTTCGATTTAAACTGTGACTTAGACCAAGAGTCAATGTTACTTGTCACTTACTTCGTATACCGTCGAAATTATTGGGTTGTTCGGAAAGAAATTTCGTTTTTTTTTTTTATGAAAATGAAAAACGATTTTTTTATAGCGAATAAATATTTTATTGAATTATATATTGTCCATTCTGGTCCAATACCTTTTGCCATCTTTCTGGCAGTAGCATGATTCCACGCTCATACAATGTTTGGTTTTTGCTGTCAAAAAACTGATCCAGGTGATTTTTGACCTCCTCATTTGAAGTAAAGGTTTTACCGTTCAAAAAATTTTGTAGAAACCGGAACAAGTAATAATCAGAAGGTGCCATATCTGGAGAATATGGTGGGTGTGGTAGTATATCCCATCCAAGCTGTAGAAGCTTTTGGCGAGTTAAGAAACTTGTATGAGGTCTCGCATTATCTTGGTGAAACACTACACCTTTTCTATCGATCAATGCTGGTCTCTTCTGTTTAAGTGAATCATTCAATTTGTCCAGCTGGTGACAGTACACTTCAGAATTGATCGTTGTGTTGTTCGGTAGAATCTCAAAAAAAAACAATTCCTATGAAATCCCCCCAAACAGATACCATCACCTTTTTTTTATGAATTTCGGCTTTCGAAGTTCCTTGAGCCGGTTCATCTTTTTTACTCCATGATCTCTTGCGTGTAACATTATTGTAGACAACCCCTTTCTCGTCCCCAGTAATGATGCGCTTCAAAAATGGATCATTTTCTTAACGTTTGAGAAGCAAATCACAGACGTCAATGCGATGACACAAATTTCTTTCCGTAAGAACACGAGGAATCCATATGTCGAGCTTTAAGATTAAACCTAGGCGTTTCAAATGATCATGAATGGTCGAATTCGATAAATATAATCTCTCAGCGATTTCACGAGTTGTTATTCGCCGGTTTGCATCAATTAATGCCTTTATCGTGTTTTCATCAGCTTTAAGTGGCCTTCCAAAACGTGGGGCATCTTCAATATCAAAATTGCCGGATTGAAATTTTGCAAACCAGTTTTGACACTTGCGTTCTGTCAATACATCTTCTCCATACACATCGGATAATTTTTTTCTTGTTTGAACGGCATTTTTACCTTTTCGATAGTAAAAAAGTAAAATATTCCGAAAATGCCACTTTTCACTTTCCATATTTGAAAGGGTACCAACCAAAAACTACTGCGTAGAATCAATCAAACTTTTTCACAAGCAAGCCTTGCTAAATCAGTTGTCAAAACATATAATGATTATGCGGCTTAAGTGTGAAGTTGGCCTGTGTTGGGAAACAACGAAATTACTTTCCGAACAACCCAATAGTATACTCCGACATCCGTTTCCTGCACGTGCATTGGCTCAAATATCAAACTAAGACCGGAAGACCCAGGATTTCGGGAAAAGTCATACTAATCTCAGAGTTTAAACGGATCATTTTTCACATAGGTTCAGATAACCGAGAGTCATCCTGCCTTAATTCCCGCGACCGACCGACCCTACTGTCAAATAAGATTTTACTATGTTAGGAAAAATAAATTAAGCTAGCGAGGCCCCAACAAATTTACGTTTCGAGTTGCACTCATCAAATTGTAGAAATATAAGATAAAGGGACCTCGCGATATCCGAAGCCACCCTGCATGTGCAGCCCCATCAATTTCGGTAGTAATGGCGATCCCGATAGTTTTCCGAGAAGACAAAATTATTAACTTCCCTCACTCCGAGGGCATTTGTTCAAACCCCACCACGGGGATTAACAACAACTTTCCAAACCCCACTCTTCGCTCTAAGGATGTTTTCCAAACCCCACTACCGAAAGTTTGGGCCTCGAGCAATAGGGGTAGTAAACTAATATAAGATAGAACTTAAGCAGCGCGCGAGACTTTTACATTTGTTACTACACCTGATACTTCTAAACTTACACTTCTCGTTATATTTCCCAAATTAGACTTCCGATTTCTCGTACAATTCTCGTCACTATCATATTCAACTTCTTGAGTTCGACACTTGCCATTTTATATAACACCTTCTCACTCGTTACACCAGTCTTTACGGAGCGAGTTTCAATTCGCCCGTTCAACTTCAAATCGTGCGATCATCAACGTCAACGTCAACTTCGAGATCAACGTTAACTTCGACATCGTCAGCGTCAAGATATTTAGAATGGAAAAACACCTGCATGCACTCACGAATACACATTACACATTACACATTACACACACGCACAAAGCGCGCGCGCAACCCTTTCATTGAATTCCCTTTGGAATCTTGTCTCTTTAGCCAATAAACTTTATTAATTCCTATCGAAAATCCCTAAATTTCAACTTCAATCACCATCTTTCTCCCTTCGCTCACCATTTTATTGATATCTCCGTGATTCACACGTAGCGAAACGAAGATCTTGGGTTCTGATCAGTTGGGTCGCCTGCCTCAAAACGTTGGGACCCCGCCTGGTATGGCCCAGAATCGCTTGCATTAACACTTGCGACACGGTCCTGCCCTCCTTGATTACCCTTCCAGGTCATTCCCTCATTGAAAAGACAAAAGGAGAACTGGGCCATTCGTGATCCTGGACTGGGTCCTTCGGGGACCTTTCATCTCCACTAGTTAATCCTTCGGGAACCAGCGTCCAATAGGAAAATGAATATGAAATGCGAGCTAACTCGCAGTTGGAGTAATAGTTTAGCATTTCTTAAATAATCCGAAAAATCGATTAAACTCAGCTTCCTCTTAGATACCATACCTTTCCACCACGTATCGAAACGTCCATGTAGGACTCAGCTGAAGGCCCACATATTTATTCCCTATTAAACCTTGCAAAATCCGAGTTGTGACTTCTTGCCTCGAAACGTTACGGGTTTTCTCAACTATTTTAACAATAATTTATTTTCTGATAGCGGTTCACTGTCACAATAATTAATTTGGACCAGTCGACTTCCAAACCTATACTGGTTTCCGTCATAGCCGTGACCCGTCAACGCATGAGGCGTGGTAATGCGCGGTTGTGGTGATGGTGTTATCAAACCACCTAATTGGTGGAACGGTCAAAAGGTTTCACCGCCTGATACCTGAAATGGTTGAAAAGACGTTTCTCGTTGGAGACAAAACACTTCGTTTTAATTGATTCTCGTCCACTCGATCACTAGCTATTTTATACTCTTTGCTTTGCAAATCGCGAGGTGGGAGAATGGACTTACGAAAAATTTCCAAACCCATAGAGCAATATTAATTGGTACAATATGAATCATATGGAAGCTAAATAGTATGAGCATTGCCCCAATATTGAATTGTAAACATTTTTATTCATTAGCAGAATTTTCCATCGTAATATAGAAAAGCTATCTACATCTAACATTGTAGATGTATTATAACAAAGTATCATGTACCTACCCACAGAACACTGTTATATAACTGTTAAGTAAATGTTACATTTTCGAAGCTAACGTGTTATGTAGCATAAAAGTAACGTTGAAGTTAGATGTTTGTTATTATTTCCCACTCAATAAGGTAACATGTTATGTAACATGTTATATTAATGTTATAAGTTCAGTTACCTAAAAAATACTATTAATTTTTCAAATATTTAATAAAAAAAATAATGCAATTTTATTAAAAATTATGTAATTTTTTATTTTGTATTGTTTTGTGGCACTTGGCAATAGTTAGATATTATATAATAAATCAGACTTTAAATGAAATTATGTGAATGATAAACTATCTGATTTTAAATAAAGACTACGATTTCACTCAACTAGCAAACAATAACTGATGATGTGTATGCGCGTACGAATTAAAATCACATTTTTTCATACGAGTAGTAAACAAAATATGACATATATTAATCTTATGACATTTGACGATGAATTATGACAATGACGATGGCGATGATGTAATAAAATAGATGACAGTTAGCCTCAATGTAGTTCTGTTTTGTTACAAATATGTGCTGCATATACACAGTAATATCAGGACAGTAACACAATGTAAGATAAGAGTAACAAAGTTACGTTACATTTATATAGATATGATAGTAACAAATGTTATGTAACCTGTTAGCTCCATGTTACATAACTGTTAAGTTACTGCATTGTAACAAATGTCATGTAACTAGTTAGCTCTATGTTACGTAACTGTTAGGTTATTATATTGTAACAATCGTTATGTTATTTGTTAGGTTTAAATTATGTAACTGTTAGGTTTGGTGTTCAGTGGGTAACCGCATTTCTCCTGTATTATACCAATATATTGAACTTAATATTTACTCTAATATTTACCAAATATCAAATTGACTCAATATTAGCTAGTAGTTAATAATACTGGGCCAATATTACATTAAGTTATTACCGATATTCGTTACTACAGAGGTAGAACCGCTTGCACCGACGTGTTTACAGTGTTTTCTAAATAAATTAATTCTTTCTTTTCATTTTAGATCAAAATAAAATGCATCATTTGTGTCAATGACTTATTCCTCCTTGTAAATGAAAAGAAATGATTGCAAAAATCGTATGTAGAACTTTACCAATTAATTATTAAGCGGAGTGAAATTTAAACTTATTACATGAGTAAGTGTTCACTCCTGGAACGCTATTGTAACAACTTCCGACAACGGTTCTCCGATTTATTATATTTATTACGTAACATAAGGTTCACTTATGAAATATATTCAGATTTTTTAAGCGTGGATGAAATCAACGTGTTCATGTGGAAAAAAACGTTCGTTCCGTATTTCAGACAGTCGATACGGATGTTTGTCAAGCAATGTAAAACCAAAGATACGCCGGAAGTACCGTCTAAGAACAATCAACTAAAAGTAAATAGATACAGTTGTACGCCCCGCTACCTACGTTTATCTCCTAGAATAAAGACCATTCTTGGCTATAAAACTAAGGAAAGTGTTAAAACGTTTCGATATAGATTTAGTTCCTGCCGTGTGTTGTGCCACACCGCAATTCTGCGTGGCAATGGCGTCGGCAGATGGTGCACCTGCATGTTGGAGAAAAATCATTTTGTACGTCAGAAATAGATTCAATTTCCTTTTTTATAGAGTCGTTAAACCGTCACCTTGAAAAATTAGTCTCTTTAAACGTCGCTCCTCATCCATTGCGACCAATTATTTCGCTAAATGTATGGACTTGAATAAGAATAATAATCAAGAGAAATGACCGATTTGCTTCAATGGCACATATAGATTAGATCGATTCAAAAAGTGCCCATTTCAATTTATAATATCACAACTAGTACAACTTAATAACTGACTTTGGGGTTTCTAGTGGCCGTTTTAGTACAATAAAAGGTTCTCTGGAAGTACTTGTTATGAAATATGACGACCAATAAATCGGTGAAAGAATCTATGAATAGATATTAAATTCAATTAACACAATTTTAGTCTCAGAATTGAAGTGCATTTTTCTGCAGGTTTTTCCTGGTCAGTTTAGCAGTTGTGAGAACTTCATTCTCCCAGTCTTTGTCGAATACGTCTGCTCTACCTGAGAATACAGAAGTTCCAATTTCGTTACCTCTGACAACCGATCCTTCTGTTCCATCTGGAGGTGTCACTAATGAAGCCAGCAAACCGATCAGCATTTGTAATAGTACTGCCTGCAAATCCGTCGGTATGTGAAAATCTGATAATTGAAAGGGAAGCATGAATCGTGAATTGTCAAATATTTCCAAAAAATTATTTATTTTTGATTATCATCAAGGTCTGCCTGTGAAGAAATGGACATGGAAGTCATACAAAATATTTTTCGAAATCACCGCGCAACGTTTTCTAAACCCTTTCTTGTATTCTTTGCATAAATGCTTTCGATTCTAATATACAATGAAAAAATTACTTTCTAAAATTCTAGAATTTGACATCATCTGGAATGAACATCATACTATAAATCCTTGCAACAATTTTTATGAATACGCTTGTGGTGGTTACTACAACATTCGAGAGGTACCACAAGGAAAGAATTACACGGATCAATTTTTGACGCTTCAAGAAAAGTATGCTAAAAATATTGAAGGTATTTATTCCAATAGTTCTACTGAAAAAAAATGCAGTACGTTATTAAGGTAAAACATATTCTTGAGACGAGTGAGGTAGTAATGCAATTATAGATTTATCAAATCTCTCTTTTCTAGCTGTGTATATCGTTTGAATATAAATTCATTTTCCGTAACCATTCATTTTGCGATATTGAATCATTCTTATTTTTCTAGACATTTTAAAAGGAGACCTTAGTGAAACAGACAGTTCATCGTTAACGAAGGCCAAAGTGCTATACAGTGATTGCGTAGACACGTGTAAGCATTATATGACGATAAATAAATAAAAGTGAATCTATGTAAAATATTTCGATAAGAGCAAATACTAATTTCAATTTATCTTCTAGTCACCATCGAGAGAACGGGTCTCCTTAAAATTCGAGAGAAGTTGGACTTGAATGGGGGCTGGCCTATTATTTCCAGAAGGAAAGAACAATATTCATGGCAAAACCTCCACAAATACTACGACCTAATTTCTGAAACCTTCGCTCTGTACAAAATTTCGATTCGTCAAAATGGCCAATCTCCTATAATTTCGGTAAAACTGTGATATCCATATATATATTACTGATACACTTAGCCGATTCTTTACCACTTTGGAAAGGTAGCTGGCAAACTAAGAATTATATAATACTGAACGTTATCAATATTCAATCCGCAGTTGGAGGTGCCTGATTTCGCAATCCCTCGTGCCAAATTGTTGAACCGTTCTCAAGATCCTTATTCAATTGCTCAATATGTAAAATATATCGAAGAAGCCGCTCACGCTCTTCGTCCATCTTCAGAAACGAATATTACTAACAATGATATCGCGACAGATATATTTGCACTAATTAACTTCGAAGAAGAGCTTGCCAATGTAAGGTTTGGTACTAGACAGGTGACTCGTTATCGGAACAAAATATTTTCAATATAAATGATATTTTTAGATCACCGAAATTGAATCTTCAAATAACGGAAACAATCAAGATCATCCAATGACACTTCAAATGTGGCAGACATTATACAAGACTGTATCAAGGACCGAAGTCTCAAAAGTAAGCGATAACACGTTACAATTAAGGTGAAGTGAAACCCCCTTCAAATCAGTCGATTCGAATACAACAACTTTTTTCAAGGGTATTAGACCAAACTGTCCGAAACTTTGACACATCACTCCTGACCATCTAAGAATTGTCCTGACACATTCAAAATTTGGATTTTTGCAAAAACTTTTTTAACTTAACCCAGACCAGAACCAAAATGGCGTCGAGCTCTCATATTTCGATCAATATACAATTATCGAAGGCTCTGATATGAGAAACGAAAGGGTCAGGACAATTTTACGACAATTTAGAACACTCTGGTAATCGATAAACTCGCATTTCAACGGGATAAAGGCAAAAAAATGTTGTATGCGCTTCTATGCTAAAACGATGGGAATACGAGGTCTCGGAGTGAAAATTTAATTGACCTAGAAATCACAGATGGCGCAAGGGGTCCCTCTGCAGTCAATTAGGGCCCCAGAAAGCACGAACCCAGAGGATTTCTGGAGTTTTACTTCGATTTCTTGATATTTATTGTACGAAAACGACAGGTGGAGTATGCCATTTGGTACAATATCCAATATAATTCGATATAGCTGTCAATATAAAAACGAACTTCGGCAACGTAGGCATTTAGAAAAATCTTCTTTATCGACGTCGATCAAGTTCCTCGACGTGTTTCACGTCACCTTAATACTTCCAACATTACCGAGTTGAAAACCTTTTTTTTATTTCTATTAGGTAAACTGGATCAAGACAGTGAAGAATCTATTTAATCTCGCCCGGGTAAAAGTTGAAAGTTCAGAAAACATTGTTATTTCCAATATGGTTTACTTTTTCGAACTAGCTAACCTGCTTGATAGAACACCACCTCGTACCGTAGGTAAGAAATATGAAACAAAAGTTTCAATAGTATAAAAACTATTATAAAATATACCAAAATATTTGAGTTAATAAGCTTAATCTTCTTTTCTTGAGCGCGTAAGTTTCTATTCAAGGCACACGGGATTTAGTATTCTTGTATTAATGATCATTAATTATTACAGTGAATTATATACACTGGAAGTTTATTAGTCGCGTTTTAAAGTACGGGAATACCAGAATGCAAAACATCGGTGCTGAGTTCCAGGAGACATTCTTTGGAATAAAGGAGACCGGGACACGGTATGTTATAAAAAGTTATTTAACCGTTGAAGAAGCCGACGTTTGAAACGTAAATGATCAAATTCATTTTCGTATTCTTTCAAGAATATTGTATTTCAATAAGATATAATTTAGAGATTAAGTACGAATATAAATGATCGAATGCTCATAGAAATCATAACTTAGACCACGGTATCAAGTTTGACTCATTAATAACTTTCGAAACTTTTATTTCGATGAATACTTTTGATTACTGAGATCAATGACTTTCGTAATTAATTCTTTAAAGAAAAATATCGATTTTATACTTATTACCCCTTGAAGAGTACTTTCTTGGGCGAATCGTTAAGAAACAATTAATGCACAATTATTCATTTCTTGAACGTATCTTTACAGATCGGAACAATGTATTCGTGAACATGGATTAACCCACGCTGTTTATTATGAGTTAAAAAGGAAAAACTTTTCATCGGAATCCAATCTTGTTGTAAGTTACCTTGTATATATAAATAACGGCTGATTTTAAAAAAGATATTCGTATTTCTTTTTATCTAAAACATATTTCAAGTGTTTTGAACTTTACATTAAGGCCAAGAACATATTCACCACAATCAAGAGTCAAATTATACGACTTATCGAAGCAGCAACCGGTCTGGATGAGAATACAAAATTGTTAGTGAAAACGAAGCTTCAAAATATAAAAGAGCTTGTTGGATACCCTTTTTGGTATGACAACAGTGAAGCATTGAATCGGTACTATAGAAAGGTAAAAAGCTTATAATCATTGACGTCATCGAATGTTCTTTTATACAGTGATTGTAACAAATAAAAAATTCTGCTCTACAGCTGGAAATCCTTAAAGACGATTACTTCAACAATGTATTAAAATGCAAAGGATTTACATTGAAGAGAAAACTGAAGAAACTTCGAGATTCAACAGAATCAGAGTAAGAACCAGTTACATATAAAAAAACTCGAATTTTTTCATTTCGTTCAAATGAGAATTTATACAAAATTAATATTACTTAAATGCTATGTATTTTTTCCATCTTCAAAGTATTTACTCCACTAGACGATTAATGTAAATATTTCTTGAAACCGTTTGAACTTATTTTTGCATAAAAGTGCTAATGGTATGCTTTTGAAATAAGCTTATTCTATTATGTTCTCTTATGTTCGTTTTCTGTGCAGTTGGTACGAGAACATTAACTTACTGAATGGACTGCAACAACGATACAACAACAATATAAGTACATACCATAAGCGAACGTTTTCATGTTTGAAAAAATATATTTAATTTGAAAGAATTTAATAAATAACAATTGTTTCAGTTTTGCCTGTGGGCATTCTTCAAATACCATTATTCAACCATGAACTTCCCGAGTGAGTACACTTTATTTATTGTGCTAGTCATCTATTAGTCTGTATTGTTTAAATTTAAATTTACAGCGCTATAAATTACGGAGCTATTGGATCCATTATAGGTCGTGAAATATTCGCCGCACTTGACGGTTTATGTAAGTTCAATTTTGCACTGATGTTTAGAAGCAAATTTCAATACACGTAAACAACTTATTTCATAACCGAGTTCATTTCTTGTTAATAGTGCCTAACGTAAACACGAACTTCTTCACCGACAAATTTAAGCAGTACCAATTGATTTATGGAAAAACCGTTCCGGTATGAAATAGCTAATATTCTTTTATAAGAATGTTTATAAAAGTATAGAATTAACCAACTTATCTTTCTTAGGAACAAGATGCTCCGAATGTAAGTGACAGTATCGCTACAACTATCGGGCTTCAAGCAGCTTATAAAGCTTACTTAGATAAAGTCAAAGAAGACACATATGTTGAAAAAAGGCTATCAATTCTTTCAAAGATGAGCGGGGAAAAGCTATTCTTTAAAGCTTTTGCAAACGTAAGTTGATCCTTAACATTTTGACATACTTTTAATTAATTACGTACCGCCAAAGTCATGACTTGTTTGTTTGACAGGCTTTTTGCAAGACGGTAAGATCAGAGTTTGCTGTATACTCATTGGACACCCAGCAATATAGCGCATCACAAATGAAAATAATTGATTCTATCTCAAGTATTGTCGGATTTGGGGAAGCTTATAAATGCACCGTTGGATCGCCTATGAACCCAGAGAAAAAATACAGTTTATAGAAATAGGTATCAAAGAATGTGACCACGAATTGTTGCAAATAAAATCTCAAATTGCTTGTTTTTCCTGTTTCAAAATGCAGGAAGAACAGCTGATGCATCTAAAAACAAATTAGCATCTGGAGTTAAATGGTTCAGCACACGTACGACGCCAAGATGAGCATGACTCCACATAAAATATACAAAACAGTTATATAAATTCAAGATAAACTTCCTATTCAATCAACTCTTTAGACTTTCTTTTCGCATACTTTATTTTGTACTAATCACAGTAAAAAAATATAATATGAATCATGCTTACACTAATAGTAAAAAGTTTTACATATAATGAAGTACCTACATAAAAAAATACGGAGAACTGAGAAAAATTATCACAGTCATATACGACAAAATAATGACATGACCAATATTAGTGACACTTACAATACTGTACCGAAATCATAATAACAGTAAAATAATTGTAGTATATACATATTTGTATATGTGGTATGTACATATTTACAAAGCACTAGCAGATTAAAAGTGTTAGTAATATAAAATAACACCACCAAGCGCCTCATTTCTTTTTATTCCTTAAATTCCGCGTGACAGGCATTGACGTTGAGGCTGAGGGCAAGGCTTCGCTCTGAAAACATAATAACTAGTGTTGACAACACAAATATGAAAACGGAGTCTAAATGAGCCAATGGAAAAGAATGCCTGTAAATTTTATAGTGGACTCGTAAATAATACACGTGTCTCGATACAAATCCGGATCAATGCGAATGTTAGTAATTCATTGTCACGTATATCTGGCCCAGGTAATTGGAAATCAAGAGAGGGTGGAAAAGAAAATAGTAACATTGGTTTAAAACTATTCAGTAGTGGAGTCACGTAAAGTTCATAAATGAAGAGGTATCATTGAACCAAGAGCCAAAGATGTGCAAAAAGCAGAAAAGTACAAGCTGTTTGTAAATACGAAGTATTTAGAAATGTGAATACTGTATCGGTCAGGAAAAATAAAGCGACCATACCAGGGTGTGAAGCGAAAGGACTCAACCTGCAGTAAGAAAGTGAAACTGGGTTACATCCTAGTAGTACAGTAAGTGTTTTTACGTATCCACAGCCGAATTGTTCTGGCAGTCGTTACTGACAAGTGGATCGCAGTCGCACGGGAGAAACTGGCGTTATTCTGAGACATCCATGTTAATGATTGGCCGAAGACCCATTAGAAGGGATCCAATCAAGGGGTCTAGTCTCAGCGGGGGCTCGCTTAAAATTACGCCACACTTACCTCGATTGGTTCAAATTCTTCAGGTTCATCCCCAGAACATAGAAACAATTTTTTCTTGCGTGCTGATCTTTTTATCTCTGGGCATGGCGCAGGTGGCGGTAGTGCTGTGCGCCGTGTAATCCGTCTGGAATTACATTAAATTTAAATAATATTAATGAAATTTAAAAGTTCACTACGCTCGGATACATATTGCAATACATGAATACAGAATGGAAACATGACCGCATAGAGAAGAATGTGTCAGGGAAAAATGACTAAAAAAAATACGTTCTCTGTGTCAAATAGCGGCATAAAAATTGAAACATGTAATAAGTCGACTAACTTAGACTCCGATCCAGATAATTCGATTACATCTTCGCTAGATACAGGCGACTGTGCAACATTTTTTTTCCCGCCTCGCTTAGGCCGACGGGTGGGTCCTCCCTCGTCTGCAGAATTCAAATGCTCATCATGCGACTTTTTCTCAAGTTTCCTCAGCTAAAAATTAAATTTTTTATATTATTCAATTATCATACCGATATACCAGTTATAAATCTACTCCACCGGTGAAATACTTGCTTACTTTCTCTTCAGCTTCCTCCAAATTTTTCGTCGTAACACGTAGTTTTTCCCGTAACTGTGTAACATCTTCTTTACCAGAAATGGGAGTAATCTGCCTCCGGAATAGCTCTTGATATCGCATGACCTAATTATTTAAAATAATCGTCTGATTTATGCAAAAAAATGAAGTTTGTTATTCTACCTATCTATTTTTACTAAAAGACCATCGTTTTAAATATTTCATTGCGACTCCACAGTGTGCCTATATTACTTATGATACATAAAGAATAAATGAACTTTTCTAAATAATATAGACTTAAATGTTACAGGCCGTGATCTTGCAGTAAAATATAACAAAAAACGAAGCTGTATGAACCATAAATATATTATCTATACCTACCTCCCTTTTTTGCCTTTCCAGATCATCTTGTCGTAATTTGACTAATCCCTCATACTTATTAATCGTTTCAAGACTATTTTTTTTAAATGATTCCATTTCTTGATCCTTGACACTTAATATGCTTTTTAAATTATCAATCTCATCTCGTAGTTTCTTATTTTCCTCCTGCATACATTGGGCATTTTCTTGAAAACGAGTTAAAACTTTTAAGTTTTGCTCATAATTGTCTATTTTCGATTGAAGACTTTGAATTTTCGTTGTAGAGCTTTGTTCGGACGCGTTATACATTTTTTGTGTTTGAGCATGAGCTTCTTTACTTTCAGCTAGTTCCTTCAAAACGTTTTTCATTTCTTTTTCCATTTCCTTATCCGCCGGGCTCATTACAGTTAATTGAACTACGTTCTTCAACTCTGTATGTAAAGAACACGTATCGTAAAAACAAACAACTGTTGATGTTCAAAATCGAAAACAATACACATTCAAAGGATTTAGAAATACCATTGTTTGAGTTCCATATCATATCAGGCATATCGTATCATTAAAAGCATTGAAAATAATTAACTGAGAATATAATCAAGGAGAACAAGTACACAATTATGAAAATGGCTTGTACAATATAATAATAACAAAATATTTCAACACCGCCGTTTTAGGTTAACCGTTTGCGTACCAGATGGTTCTGAAAAAACAGGATCGAAAAGCGCCAAAGAGCGCGATTGCGCTCCTTCGATTACGTGTCGAAAAAAGCCGTAGAGCGCAATAGCGCTTATCATATTCAAATTTCGGGTGGGCCGTCAGTCGTCTGTTTCGGCCAAATGCCCTGGCTTTTCTCGACACAAAATCTGAAGAGCACGAAAGTGGCTCGTGGTACGCAAACGGTTATCAATACAAAAATTTGAATGTTACATACCTTTTTGCAATTTTGAAATTTCCGTATTTAATTCTTCTTCTTTGGAACCGGCCGCAGTCAATTTTGCTTCTAGGTTTTCAATTTTTGATTCATTTTCGCATTTCTGGTTTTGTAGAATAACTTTTTCTTTTTCCAGTTTTTCCAAAATATTATTAAGTTGATTAATCCTCTGCTGTAGTTCATTTACATTGATTACATCCCGTTCAAGTTGCACAACTTTTTGTTTATGTGCATCTATACACTATTCAAATTTATATTTCATTAAAACAAATAAAGGCATATATGAATACTGACGTGTAACATTGTAATTTAAAGTAAATATATTGAAATAATGTCAAATACTGATAACAAGCACTAAATATCAGTAATATAAATTCAATACTAAATACCTGGTTTTTAAGTTCATCTCGTTCTTTTGCCGTATTACATTCCTCTTCTAATTTGGAGATATATACTTCATGTTCTTGACACTAAAAAGTGTATGAATAAAACAGTAAGCAATGAGTTGACATCATTTCATAAACTCTACATTCAATTTAACAAAAACTTTGTATCCGCTTGTCTGTAATGTTAATCTTACCTTTAACTTTAGCTTTTTTAGTTCGTGTTCTATGTTTATTAATTTCTGCAAAGAAGAATAATGAACAACTCAAATTTTTAAATGAAACATTCATATTTCGACTTAAATAAGTGCAAATTGGTACCTCAGTTTGATTTTGTTCGTTGGTTGTGTATTGTTTTACAGTTTCTTGAAGTTTTTCTATCTGCTGTTCATGTTCAGTTATCCTTTTTCCCAAATCACTGTTTGTATTGTTTGCTACGACCAATGCTTCTTCTAACTTAACCTTTTCCATCAAATCCCTCTCATGTTCTTGACTGGAAGCTTCAGTTACAATTTCAATATTATCCTTCATGCTATTTAACTGTATTCTCAATTCCTCAGTACACTAAATAAAAAGAAAAGTGCAATATAACTTAATTTGTTAGCTCTAAATAATAATGAGTATCTGTTGTGTATACTCAAATCTTTCTGATTGATTTACAGTTAAATCATAGAATATTTTAGTATTAAAATATTAACTGAAAAGTGTACATACCGAACATTCTTGTTTATACTGATTCTCCAGTTTTGTATACTCAATTTTTAGTTTACTTAATTGCTCTTCAGTATCGTTTAATGAATCGATAACACCTGTACAAGTTTGGACAAACTTCTCCTCTGTAGAAATATCAGCGAAACTAGTTTGAACGATTACATCTTTCAAATCTACCAAAACTGTTTTGTCATTTGTATTAGCTATGACATTATCAACGTCTCCCTCAATTGTTGCATGTAATTCATCTTCTTGTAATACTTTACTATCTATAAAATAAAAACCATTTAACATGTAATAACGAGTCTGAAGTAAATTAATGATGACAAATACATTAGTTTTGCAAAACAAACTTGAAAACTTTGACTAAGAAAGTAATTACAATGAAGTTTGTACTATTTAAATCCTGGACATAAAAATTAGTTATACAAATATATTACTCTATTAAATAATTACGGTATTTCAACCATTAACTTACCATCTGTCTTATTCACTTCATCTAAAGTTTTGAACAATTTGTTTTCTAAATCAACATTTGCCTTATTTAAACACTCCAATTTTTCTTCCAAACCTTCGATGGCATTAGATTTCTCTTGTAGACATAATTTAAGATGTTCTACTTGTTCCTGTAAATCAGTTATTTCGTCGGCATTCATTGCCAACAATTCATCTTGTTCCATTAATTGTTTTTGCTTTTCTCTATCATCATTTTGAGCCGTGATATAGTCAGCCTTTGCTTGATTAAGAAATTCTATGTATTTCTAAAATTAACAATAAAATAGTTAATCCGTGTAACGATAATTGCACAAACGTGTAATTAATGGTTTAGGTCCAAAATAATGCATAGCTTAATTGTACCTAATAACATTCTAGTAAGAACTTAATTCAAACTGTAAGCTCCTAGTTAGTAATCTCATCCAATTCAATATTCACTTAAAATTATATATATAATTGAAAAATATTATTTAATAATTAACTTTTGAATGTTTGAATGGAATTTTGTAATACCTCAATGCGACCCTGTTGCTCTGACAATTGAGATTTTAATTCGTTTATGTAAACTTTTGTATCATCATCAGGGGACAAGTTACGTTCTTCTGCTACTTGTAACAACTTCTCTGTTTTCTTCAAACAATCTTTTGTAAGGCTCGACTGAAATATCGCCTTATTTTTCTGAATCTCTAGGGTTCGATTTGTATTTGTCAGATCTTTTATAGTTTCTTTAAGTAACAAAATTTGATGTGTTAATCGGCTATTTTCAGCCTCTAATTCTGCTGCGTCTTTCATTTCTTCATTATAATCGAAATCGTCGCCTTCAGATCGTTTTCGCTTCTTATTTGACATTTTACTAAGTTTTTCCTCATAAAATCTTGTCATTCGTTGCACCGTCCATTCTCTTAAATCTTCTTGTTGTTCTTCCATATTCTTTACATGTTCTCTGTTGCAGGACACACATGAAACAGTGCATTAGTCAAAATAACACACTTTTAAATCTATATAACCTTCATTATTAATTACAATACATTACACAAACCTCCAATTAGAATCCAAATTCTTCATCATGGCGTCGTATGTATCTGACAACTCCTTCCGAATCAGCAGATCTCGATTCAAATTTGACTCCTTCAATGATTTGATTTGCATTTTCAGATCTTTATTTTCATTAATAATATCCTCGTAGTTACGTAAATGCTCAAAATCAGTGCTTTCCGATTCCACTAAATCGCTCTCTAAGTAAAAATAATATTTAAAGTAATGAATGTTTAAGACATAATATTTGCAAAAAGATAAGAATATGTTTGTTTTATATAACTATTTAGATAAAAAAAATTTTTTTTTCTGAAAGAAATCTTGATAATTTACATTAAATGAATTTGTTTCACTTTTCTGAAAGATATCTATTATCTCAATAAATTAGAAAATTGTATCTTACTAGTTCGTATCTTATATAATTGTCATATGATTAAAAAAATGATTATGTAAAATGTAACATATAAATGTAATGTGTAAAATATGTTCTTTGAGATGCAAATTAAAGTTTAAATTAACATTGTAGTAAATTATACACCGAACATTTTTTAATTGTAATTATACTCTAATTGTTGCATACCTATGTTCTCTAACTGCACAGTGTCCCAGTCAGTAACTGTTTTGATACTTTGGGCAACTACTTGTGAAAATCTTGAACGTAATGCCCTCTGTTTTGGTTTTTTAGATTCCACAACAATCTTTCGTGCAATGGCAGAAAAATTCAATACATTCTGCGTTTCAATATAAAGATTTGGTGCTGGGTTAACATGGACAATCAATGAAAGTAATTCCTTTCCTGAAAGAGCTCCTTGAAATAATCTTGTTAATTTTGATTCTCGAAAAGGCCCAACAATTTCCTGTTTCTGCTTCAAACATTGAGATTCATATATCGACTTTAAGCATCTTCCAAGAACTAATAAACTGGTATTAATATTCTGAGCTTCTTTCAGCCTATCTCCTACATTCAATGTTTTTTTTAAGCGTTCTGAACCAGCCAAATCACAAAATGAAAATCTAAAAATAAGAAGACGTTTATAGAAAGCACTTACATAAAGTAAATAAAAATACTTACGTGCTCATTTCCACAGATTTTGGATTATTTTCTGTGTAATACTTTAACAATTTTATGGTAAAAATACAATGTGATCTGGAGCTTCTGGCATTTAATGCAGTAGCAGCAATTTTAAGATTATATTGGCCAGCCATAAAAACTTGATATGCCTCCAAGCCAGAATTTACACAAATCGTTTTCAACCCTTTAATAAATGATCTGCCATGATGATCTGTTGACAATTTTAATGGACATCTCTGTTTTTGACAGTCATTCGTTAATAGATCATATATCGTCTCATTGTAAATTTCAGCAAATGACACCCATACTGAATACAGAGTATCACTGCATTGGTTTGTCTTTATTGGGGATTCTTCCTGTAGCAATGCCTGCATTTTTTTGTAAGCATCAAAGCATTGATTTCTTTCGGTCATTCCAAGTGCAAGTAACCTGTTCTTTTCTTCTAATTCCTGTGCACATTGATATGCATTTAAACTAAGTACATCACAATAATGTACGGGTTTATAACATGGTTCTAATTGAGGGTTGATAGTACAAAACATAAATTGTAGACATCGTGGGATTAAACCCGGAGCATGGACATTTCCATGAAATGTGTACGATTTCCCCGAATTTGTTGTTCCTGTAACCATGCAAAAAGGACATTTTATTTTATTTTATTTTTAATAGTATATCCATTTTACACAAATGCGATTTGGTTATTATGTTATTAATTGTTATTAATATATACCATAAGTCATAACTGTTGAATTTTGCCCTGCTAAAAAATTTATCATTTGTTGCTTTACAGTTTGTTCAAATAATTGTAACTGACTAGTCTCTGGTCCAAGTGTTTGCGTGAAGGTAAACTTTTTACATACAATCACATTATTCTTATTTTTTCCAAAATAGCTACTATTACTTTCTATGCAAGGCAATCGTGTCAATAACGTTGTTGAATTCATTATTGTATATGCTCGTTCCTGGTCCTCCGTTGTTTTCATTTTTTTTGGAAATGGTTTCATTCTCAAATATACTTTTACAGTTTGGGTCAAAACGTCAGAACTGACAGATTCTAACGAAGCTTTTTCCAAATCTGAGTTAGACTCCACACTCTCAAACAAAGATATTAAATTTTTCTTTGAATCATCGGCATGTCGAGTACAATGTCCATAAGTTAATATGCTTGGATCTCTTCCATATAAATATGAAGCCTCTTCTTCCGAAACTGTAGTGGATGGTCGTATAGAATCTAATGTCTGCTCCATTTGTCTATATAAATGCATGAATAATATACTTTAAGTACACGTACATCAGCCTCGTTGCAAAACTACTTTTACTTGTTAGATATAATAACATAATATAAAAACCAGTGCTATACTGGTATACGCGATTATTGAGTGTGTCATGCTTAATCTCCTGAGCAATACAAATGTACATTAACTTATTACAAAAGAACACGGCTCAAACATTTAATCAATATCGCACGTGACAAATAAACAAACTTTACTTACACTTCTGAATTTTTTGATGAGTAAAATAACTTCGGAGAAAGGAACTCACTAATACTTTAAATACTTTAACACCAACGCGATGTTAAAACTACATAACTTCAAGTAATATTGTTAAACACGTTTAGAGATGTCCTTTTCACCGCTACAAAAGTGTTGAATATATACCAAAGTATTTATTTTACTCAATATATTGTTATCCAAACTGGCTAGCCTAACTCCACAATTTAAACTGATTTAAACGACTCGTGACAAACTACGGAAAATCAGTTGTCGATTCCACTTCCACTTCTACTGTTATGCTAGATTTCAAAGTTGGAACTCGTTTGATCCTGTCCAGCGTTGTAACGGTTACCGGTTCAAACATTTTGAATGAAAAGTTTAGGGAGGTTCTATGTACGCGCGCGAAATGTTACCGCCAATCCAACACCAATCAGAAACCTTCTTCGGTATGGGTTGCGAAAACTCTGAAATATATAGAAACCATGGACGTCAGAATATTTGAGGTTTGTTTGTACACTCAGTGAAGATACACTCGCAAAACGAACAGCGACGCTGCGTCACTTCCGTCAAAACGAACGCCAAAGTGTACACTTTTCGTAAAGTAGGCAAAACGAACAAACCTAAGGTTTGTTCGCGTTGACTGCACTTTCTACACTCAAATGTAACGAGTGTACTAAACTTTTCTTGAAAAGTGCAGAAGTATAGATACACTTTCGTCGACGTCCCGAACGCCAGAAACCTCACGAAAGTTCACGAAAGTCCAAGATGACCGATTTAGTAGAGAGATACGTGATTTTGAGGTTATCTGTATCGGACGATAATGAATACGAAAATACTATCGTAATGCTTCTTCCAGCCTTCCTTCTTGAGCTGTCTTCGTTTTCTTCAAATCCTATAATTCGTTCTATTACCTTGTAGTTGTAGAAGATGAAAATTCCTTTCACGAATTTCAGGTATTGAGGATCAATAAGGGTCAGAATATTATTGCAGTAGGATAAAAAACAATTTAACTACAACAGGGAAAAATTTTAGTTTAGTTCATTACAACCGCGGTTAGATAGTAACACATAATTATTGTAAATTGTTTCAAACATTGTGTACAAAACTAAAACGCTAAATCATTCTATACATGAAGAAGATGCATTAATAATTACTTCTATTTATATTACGTTGAGATGTTAGCATAAATTCTGTATAATCCTGTTCGTTGGTCTTTTCAATTTTGAAATTTGCCGCCAAATTCGCGGGCTACACTTCTTGCACTCGCTCGGGATCGAGGATAGAATGTGTAAAGAAAGTGTACACTCGGTGTAGATGCACTCGCAAAACAAATAGCGACGCTGTGTCACTTCCGTCAAAACGAACGCCAAAATGTACACTTTTCGTAAAAGTGTAGAGAGTATAGGCAAAACGAACAAACCTCTAATATCTTCGTCTATTGGTGGGAAATTTTAAATTTGATTTTAGGAATTAATGTTAAATTACATTAAGCACAATTTTGTAGAGTATTTTTATTACTTTATAACCTCTAGCTACTAAGGAAAAGTATTTTGTTAGAAAATAGTTAACAATTTTTTATTATTACATGATATTGGAAGAAGTGATACGTTTAACGAGTCAAAATTACAGGATATGCATTATTAATATTAATCAGCTGGAGTTCAACATTAAATGAAATGAAAGAAAAGAAGGAAAATTGAAAACATCTACACTTTGATGAAACTATCGTATGTTTATCATTTATCATACTGACTACTAAATTATCGTTCATTTGTTCATTCTCCGTGAACTACACAACCAATTTGTTAGGTTTTACCAGTTTCTGACCTACAGGTTATACAAAACATTTCCAAGTGCTCCCATGGAAGGCGCTATAGTAGACATCTGCCAGATATCTGCTCTTCAAACTACCGGATAACTTTATTCAGTGAATAACTCTTAACTGGAAGTGAAAAGAACCGAACTGAAAGATATCTTCCGGATAACTTTATTGGGAACATATCTGTAGATGAAAAAATAGGGCATGAGTAAGGGGGGAACACGTAAAAACAATGATAAGATAGGGTAAAGTTGTTCCAAAATCCTAGTTTCCTGATTGACTGAGATTTGGTTAGAAAAATAAATAGTAAACGGTATAATACGTTTGTTGCGTTGTCTGCACTTTCTACACTCGAGTGTAACGAGTGTACTACACTTTTCTTGAAAGGTACAGTAGGGTAGATACACTTTCGTCGATATCCCAAACGCCAGAAAGCTGAAGAAAGTACAAGATGGCCGATTTAGCGGGATAGTATGCGATTTTGGAGCTAATCGAAAATTCATAATTTATTTCATTCCAACCGCAGTTACGCAGTAATACAGAATAATTGTAAATAAGTAAATTTCAAATCAAAACGAAATTTGTAATAAATAATGATTATACAATTTTTCAAAGATTACATACAAACTTAAAACGCTAAATCATTCCATACACGAAGAAAATGTATTAATCATTATTTCTATTTATATTACGTTGAGATCTTGGTACAAACTTTGTATTTTCCTGTTTGTTGGTCTTTTCAATTTTAAAATTTGCCGCCACATTCACCGTCTACGCTTTTATAACATCTTGCACTCGCTCGAGATTGAGGGTAGAAAGTGTAAAGAAAGTGTACACTCGGTGTAAATGTCCTCGCAAAACAAATAGCGACCCTGCGTCACTTCCGTCAAAACGAACACCAAAGTGTACACTTTTCGTAAAAGTGTACTTTGTAAAGTGAACTTTCTAAAGTGTAGGCAAAACGAACAAACCTATAATAAGCTCGCCGTGCATTCTTAAGGGTGGCAAGCGTTCCAGTTTACTATATATTTCAAGGTTGCAAAACGACTGGTTCCTACAACTTTACGCGCGTATTTGCTATGTACATCATACAACGCATACGCATCCGTTAATTAATAAATTATGCATTTCACAGGGGACTATACTCATAGAAATGAACAATAGAGGAAAAAATGAGAGCAGCCGAGCCACCTAACATGTAATGCTATCAATTTAAGTAGATTAGCCTCTTTCGATACCAACGTCTGCGGAATCCAGCGCATAATTTCGGAGATATGTATTGATATGGATAGCAGTCTGTATATAGTAACGGTCATAAATGCCTTCCCATCAGGCAGTGGCGTCACCATATTTGCAGAAAAGGCATTTATATCCATCACTGTATAATTGTTGCTTAACGCCGTCTTCTGATATGTCAAATATTCCAAATAGCACTAAACACGTGCTAATATAGTGCTAAAAATTCAACAGATGGTTGAAGATAGCAGAGATGAGCAGGTCATCTCTGAAGATAGCAACCGTGGCGGCAAAAATTGTATTATTTCCGAACGGAAAAGCAGTTCTGCCAATATAAAACGTAACATACTCAAAGTTCCCATACGGACTAAAGAATGGGCTAGAACCACAGAGATGAACAAGTTTGCTAAAGATACGATAAGGTTATAGGATTTTAAAAATGAATTGCGATAGTAATCCGGAATTAATAGTGAAAACGGAAGATAATGAAAGCGACCAGGCAGACGGCGAGTGTGGAAAAATTGAAAAAATTAATATACATGATAATACTGAGTCATCAATAGGTATACGACCCCGGCCGTTGATCTGCAAGCCAGAAAATGTTCACATTGGATGCAAATCTGAACCGATTGAAACTAAATGGCATTGGGCTCCTGGAGCTTGGCAGGATGCTACGAGGACTAGCGCATTTCAGCCTTACAAGGTTGACTTACATACATTAGAATCAGTATCTTTGAAAAGGTTAAATAGGTTAGATAGTGGGGACAACTTTAAGTTGTTAGGTAAATCTAATTCATCCGTTAATTAAAACCGGTCATTTGGGCTTTAATATTCATGCGGTTGCAAAGATGATATTGGATGAGATCTAAGAATTATAAGTTTAATATTTTTTTGTATATTTATTTTGTTTTGCAAACTTATGTACATATACATTAATTCACTGTTCACTTATGTCGTTTTAAATTGAATATGTTAGTTTTAATAATATAGGAAGAATTTAATATATATTGGGTTGTCGGATACGTCCATTCGTGAGTAATGGTTCGGGAATGGCAGAAAAAGTGAATGGAGGTATCCGACAACACAATATTATGAGAAACAGGAGATGGAGCTGGTTCTTAAGGTTAACTTTGTTTACATCTGGTTATTAGGTCAACTCTTGCACATGTATGTGTCCCATCGTAAAACCATCTCCAAGTTTTAGGCAATCAGTGATGAACTTCAGTACTGAGATCCATATATTTTAAATAAATGAATTTCTACTAATTTTCCTAACATATATATGCATGCACGCAAGAACTGATCTATGATCAAATGTAAACAAAATTGTCATTAGGCACCAGCTTGAGTTCTTATCCTTTACAATATTTAAAAGTACCATCTAGAAGATTGTAATTTATTTACAATATCTCATATGCAATTTTTTTAATGTTTAGGTATAAGTTCAAAAGTAAATGGAACTGAATTTTGTTATATTAAGTACACATGTATATAACTTATAAAAAAGGTAATAAATATGTGAGTAGAATAACAAGTCGATTAGATAACATTAATTATAGGTATATGAGCAAAGGGCAACGATAATATTTAAACAGGTGAATCTTAGGCGTATTTAATGTTTGGAAATAATATTAATTAACATTTCCTATTTCCGTAGCCACCGACATTACTGACGAATTTGCAACGGGGTAATACACAGACTGAAATACCACAGCTGTACAGTAGCAGTGATGTAACATTTCATACATTAGCTGGTCAAGGAGAACTTACTCCTGATAATATTCAGCCAGGTATATGTAGTTGTGATACGAATACCTCACAAACACATTAAAGGTGATATTTCATCAAAGAACGTGTGAATAAATTTTGCCAAATAATCTATAATATAATTACAAAGTAAAATATTTTATGATTAAAGTGAATTCATTACACCAAATTGATTAACTACTGTATCAACATAGTTTGAAATTGTTCATAAGATAAATTGTAAACAGAAATATGTATATATCATTATCAATTAAGACAAGGATGTACAGTGTATATCTACAGCATCAGTATAATGTATAAGCCATTTCAACACTTTTCAGTTCTTTTAATTAATCTGTAATGTATAGTTTTCTTCATAAACCAGTATTCATTCATTTTAATGATAATTCTCTATTCAATCAACCGTTTTGATATGTTTTCAAATTTAATCATTTTTCATATCTTCAATATGTGTTTTAAATTATTTTCAAATGAAGCAAAAAACGTATGATACTAACGTTTTCTATACTAACTATAATACGTTTTCAGGATCTATAGATGTCGTAGATGAGAAAGGTTTCACTGGTCTCATGTGGGCTGCAGCATATGGACAATTAGGTAGTGCTCGGCAGTTGCTTAAAGCTGGTGCTAATAAAAATTTTAGAGGTCGCAATGGAGAGACTCCATTACATTTAGCTGCAGCATATGGGCATCACGATCTTGTGAAATTGTTATTAAATCATGGTGCTGACTGCAATGCAAATGATGAGGTATTTAGTTATTCTTTAATTAACAAACATACAGCTGTTTGATTTTAAAATTCACTGCAGGAAGGTAATACTCCATTAATTTACGGAGCACACGGGGATCATCCACATGTTTGTTATGAACTTTTGTCAAGAGGAGCTGACATAACTCATCGCAATGTTCATAACATAAGTGCTTATCATGCAGCTATATTAAACAATTCAGAAACGGGTAAGCAATATTTTAGAGATATATACTATAAAGCATGACAATGACATTGAAACTTCCTTTTTACAGCTAAGTCTGTTATCGAAAATTATCTTACCCAGGAAGTAGTAAACTTACCGAATAATATATTGCAATAATTCCTTTTGCATTTCTAAAAAGATGTAAAGATGTAAATAACTTATTAATAATTTATTAACTGAAAAAGCAAATAAGACATAGGAATATATTTGTTTCAAATAGATAAGAATTGTATAAATTGTACATAAAGTAAGTTGTTTGAGAGATGTAGTAATGACATACATGTAATATTATCTAATAATATTCTGTAAGGGATTTATAAAAATATTGTTGTAGTATGTTAAATAACTTTATATTACATCCATTCTATCTACGAATAATGTTCTTATACAAAAACGGGAATACAGTAATTTTAAGAATTTTTTGGTTTTACTTTGTGAAACTTTTCCACATATCCTGTCTTGTATATATTCCATTATTCTTTTTTTTTCTCGTTTTATCATGGTAGCTATTTACGTTCATTTTGTATCCTACTAACCTTTTTTATTTAACAACGCTTTATCAAGATAAATTTCAGAAAACTTCCTTAATGTCGATTTTTCATCTTTATTAATATTCAAATTATATCTTTTTTCAACATATAATTGTTTACTACTTGTAGTGCATTATTTCAGAAAATGGATCCCTCTTAAGATTTATTAAATTGATAAAATATCTTATGATATTAAGTCTACATAATACTATATGACCTAAGATAATTTTACAGACGAAATAAACATTAGTTTTACTGTATTAGAATTTGACCTCAAACAGCTCTGATACTCTGTCGGTATTTTTCATCAACTTTTTTTGCCTGTGACATCTTACTTAACTCGTTATTTAAGTTCATTAAGCACGTATAAGAATACTGCACGCACGCGTATTCAAATTATTTCAGCCTTATTTTGATTCTAATTTTGTTTGCTGAATTTTTTTAAAATATGTCTCGAATTATTCAAATCACAGAGAGTATGAAGATTTCATTTATGTATCTTTTAAACGAAGTAAGAATTATAATTGCGTAATTCAGGAAGTCATTGTGCCCTTGTATTTATTTGACTTGAACATGTAACATTTCTTGATATTAATGTTTCAGTTCCAAAGAATTTTTAAATCTTTTTCTTATAACGCGTGATGTGCAAGTTATTAAAAATGACTTAAATTATAACAAGTATAATAAGATATACGTTTAATCATATTATTTTCCCGATGTTAAGATTGGACACACTTTATCTCATAATTTAGCAAAGATACTTGAAATAATTCTATTTTAAGCATAATTAGGAATTAGAAATTACTGATAACGTGAAATTGGACATTAAGAAAATCAAGGAATAACGATGAAGTTTTCCATCTAGGAAACACTTTATTCTCGCGAAATTTTAACTGCATAGATAAGGGTTTGCTTTCATAGATAAAAGTAATTAATTTCTACAGAAGTAAGATCTAACCGATCAAAGAAATAAAATGTACAGTTTTGAGATAAAAAAATGTACGTTTTGATACGGCTGATATATTGTTTCAACGTTTAACACGTATTCTCACTTTTTACATATGTAGTACTACTTCTGAAATAAAAGAAAACCGATTCTTACAAATATTATCATACTTATATTCAAAACATTCGCCTTATGCTCAATCTCAATCATTGCTCTCAATATTTAGAAATACATAAAAGCTGTACTTTATGAATACTCAACAGAGAGGTTAGACTTGCACAACAGCTTGTGCGCAACTAGCTCAAAGGAAAAAAGATATTAATTACGCTATTATGCACATTTATTGTTTTATTTCAATGAAATCTAGGAAAGTATCCTAGAATTCACGCTAATTAAGTAAATTATATTATAGCGTTATATTTTATAAAAAGAAAGATCACGAAATTGAGTTAAATTAAAAATACCTTTAAATACACAGTGTGTCTCGTGGTAAATTAATAGTTGCAAAACGATTTTTTCGAAGTGTGCCTACTTTTTTTCAAGATCGTTTTTATTAGTAAGGCAGCAAATTACTTCTTTCTGGCTGTAACATTATTTACAAGTACTATATCCAGATTAAAAGAAATCCCTACATAATGTAACAACAGGGTAGAAGACCAAAAAGCCCTCCACTAGGACTCCAATTCTTATTGCCGCACAATGAACGAGCGATATACTCTGTTACTTAAAAAGAAACGTTCGATATTATTTTCATGATTAATTTTCGGACAAAGAATAACACTGTGCATTTAGTTTTTACGAATTCTAAAACATATTCAGCAGTTGTGACTTCTAAGTCATTAAAGTTATTAAAGTATATAACTTGAGCATCCAACCTCCAAAATGTTTAAACCTTTTGCATCTAATGTTCAAAAAGCACATGTTCGAGTGGTTTGTTATTAATATTTCTGTGACATTGGGTCATTAACGATAAAATACTCAAATGACATATAAGTGCAAAAATGCATAAAGTTTCTTGTTCCCTAATTAATTGGAGAATTGGCAAGATAGCCTTGAATTTTTACACCATAGAATTCTCCTCATTTGTGTGAGCTGTCTACTTCATAACATAAATACATTTAGAACAATGATTGTTACCATCTTCAAAATTAAACCACTTCATAGCTGTCTGTAAAGAAAACTGTTTCCACTGAATGTTTCACAGGGCTTTCGTCTTCAACGAGCAATACTTCACTGACCTGAAAGCATTACATATCAATAATTTAATTACTTTTCACCATTGTACCGTACTTGAGATGTGATTTCAATCTGCTAAATTTATCACAACGATATCAAAGTAATACTTTTACAATTAAATTATTTACATACTTTAATTTTCGCATATGATGTCTTTGATGCAAAAGAAACGTGAATAGGGAAGAAATCCGATGGGTCAGATGAAGGAGCTGAGAATTCCATAGATCCTGATTTAGTTGAAGCATCTACTAATGGCAGTGACCATGTCAGTATATTTCTTCGAGCTTCATGGGTATACTGTCCATCACATTCATTTACAATTGGATTACAACCAACGGGAAGAGGAATATTTATTTGGACGTCATTCAATTCTAGATCATCATGTTCCAATTCATATTCAATATTCACATCGCAACCATCTGTTCCATTCTCGGAGGGCCAGCAATTTACTGTAATAAAAATCCAGGTATTAGATAGCATGTTGCAGTTCTTAAACGTAGGAGTTAAAATCAAATTTTCTAGTCAATGTTCATAATAATTACAAAACTTACTGGTAATTGGTAATGCCGTTTCATCTTGAGTTTGTAATCGCCATTTTAACACTCCAACGTCCGTGTTAAGAGGAAAAGGTTTTGATGGTGTTTTCAAGCCAATCTGTCCACGCGTTCTAAATAATTCTTTATCAACGTTAGGGTGAGTTTGTAATTGAATACCACGAGAATCTCTGTTCTCCAGCTGTACTCGTATACGTCCCCACTTTTCATCAGAGATATGTAACGTTACCAGACCATGTAACTCGAAATTTTGTAGAGCACCATCCCGAAATATTCTCACATTAAGGCGTTCTTCTTGCCTCAGATGTACCCTTTAAAAGAAAATAAAACCATCTCTTTAAATTCTCCCGAGGAAATGTTTATGTAAATTAAGATGGTTACTTGTTTTTGCTGATCGATACCATTAATTTGGAGGTTTTTATCATATAAAGTATACTTACGGTTCTGTGTTGATAATTTGTGGGGTGATAGGTGCTGCCTTAACTCCAGCTGCTGCAACCGAAGTAGCAACTACAGATTCCCCTTCTTCTTTCAGTTGATCAACAAATGAATCAACATCACGGGCTTTTCCTCCAAGTTTCATCGCACCTGGACCAGCAGAAATAGATTTTCTGAAAAAAGAAAATAAGTTGTTCCAGATTTGAAACAAAATACATATACCTCATGGAAATATTTTAGAATTACTTGTATACATACTTCACAGGTGGATAAGATGGTTTTAATGGCACTTCATAAGCTGCAGAATCGCCAACACTTGGAGTAGGAGTAAAACCACTACTGATTCCATAGCCTCCGCTAAACCCTGAGTTCTTAAGACCACCTTTTTTATTTGCTTCCATTCTTTGTCTTTGCAGTTCCTTAGCTTTCTCTCTCATTTTATTCTTTGCTTCTCGTTCTTGAGTGAATCGTACAGCTTGATAGATTCTTTCCTCATGGGAATCCATTTCCACAAACGTTCTGATTTGAGCCAAATTAACACTTTCTCTGTACCCCAGTGCCACAATTTCATCAAAGGCGAATATCAAATTAAATGCATTCTCTGCTATTTCTAATTCGTCCATTGATTTACAGTATTCTGGAATCTAACAAAAATCTCTTGAATGTGAAATATAAGTTTTATACGAAAAGTAAAGGATTATAATTGTAAATTGAAAATGTTAGCCTGCATGTACATACCACTCTTGCGAAAAGTCTTAGTGTTTCTAAATCCTCCAATATATTACTTGCTTTTGTTGTAATCAGTAACATATACAGTTTTTCTAGTGGTTGATAAACATAACGAACAGATTCAGTTTCAACGAAAGTGTGTTGTTTTCCAGTACTCATCAGTTTTGGGAATGCAGCAAGTAAACCTTCTATTCTCGCTTTTGTCATTTCCACAAATTGACGGGAAATAATGGCTGCAAAGATAAAACAAAATGACATGTTTTGTATTACTGCTACAATGGTATGATTATAAGCCTTGTCATATACATTACGATAATTAAAAATAACTACTTAATAAACTCATATACATAATATATCNGAAGATGCGAAGATTAAAATATTTATACATAACAGATTTTGATTTGGGGAATAATATAATAGCAGCTGCTTGTGTACTACACAATTATATAATTGACAATAATGATTTTCATGATTGTGATGTAATAGACACCGATGACGATATTGAAATTGATGAAGTTCTTGTAGTTGAAAATTATAAAATTGAGTTACAAACAGCTACACAATATTACAATAATGAAACCTTTCTCCTTCATTAAATAAAAATTACTTAAATATATCAGACAGATCAATTCTATAAAAATTGTAAGTACAGAAAAGAAACGTAGTTAATAACAACATGCATGCCAATATGATTTTAATTGTTCCATTGCAGAAGAATGTAGTTTTATGTAAACCGACTTAAAAAAACTTTGGCATCTATAGTCGTTTGAAGAAAAATTCATGTTTCAGACCTGCAAGATTTAGCCAATCAAAAAACTATCTGACGAGAAATCATCAATTTATATGAAAGGATAAAATAACGCTTGTCGCCATTTTTATCTCAAATATATAACTGCTATGTATTAACAATATTTTATTAACATTGAAGGAGAAATTATTTATACTCTAAATAATATTAATTAAAAAGCCCTCTAGCTGACAGCTACAATTTTCAAGAAATGATTTCCAGCTTGAGTCATGTCAAAAGGCAATCCCATGTAGAATACTTAACGGATTGTGTGATTAGATAATTATAAATGTAATGAATTACTCACTCTTCCCTGCTTTTGTACATACTGCAGCCGCAATAAGTACCTGAAATTCATGAAATTCTTATATTGCATTTGGCTTTTGAACACTAAAGTTCATAATCCATGCCGACAATGGCAGTTGATATCGTGGACGGGTTCGTCAATTAAACGCACATCAAATTGGTTTACAGCTATTCGACAATTACGGATTATATTTTCAATTTACGGAAGACTACTCACCATGTTGATCGACAAGTTTTCTTCCTTTAAACTCTACGATTAACCTAATAGAATCTTCATTTATACCACCCTGCACTCCACATCACGTATTACCACGGTACCTAAATACACATAATAGAGGGCGCGCGTTAGCTGACGTGTGCATCCGCATGTGCATTAACTACAGATAGCTTAAGACTGCCAACTCTACGGGAATTTTGGGGCAACAGTCTTATCAGTTATGACAGATTCTGATAGGGAGCGGAATATGACAAGTAACAAGTAACCATGGACCTCTAAATATAGGAGACCAGGGTGTTTATTACGTATTTTTGACGAGAGCGCCACTTCTCGCACAATCATCTCACGTGGGTTTATTCGCCAATTACGTATTCGCTACATGAAAGAACGAGATCACTAGCACTTTCGGTCTAGTAACAAATAAAGGTACATACCATGTAAATAAAAAATTTCTGAGAAGTAGTTGGTCATAGGCAGGAAAGTCGGGAAAATGGGAAGCCGTTAAAAGTAAAAAGAGGATTCGAGTTTATCTACATTTTTTAAATATGTATTACATTTATATTTACATGTACTATAATTAGAAGTTCAACAATATAATTTTCTTACCATGTCATGTAAGTATGAATTATTTAACAGTTTTCAATGTTTAATAATGTAATATAACCTCGCAATAACAAAAACTAACCTGTACATACATATTAGTAAGTTCTTTTTTTTTTAACGAAAATGGATCTGAGGCATCACGTAATTCCTTTCTTCTTGTAATAAGGTNTTTAATAATGTAATATAACCTCGCAGTAACAAAAACTAACCTGTACATACATATTAGTAAGTTCTTTTTTTTTTAACGAAAATGGATCTGAGGCATCACGTAATTCCTTTCTTCTTGTAATAAGGTTATTATCACATCCCCGAATATGATTGTTGCCGAAAATCAAAACACCCAGGAGGTTTCGCATTTTGAATTTTGGTGTCACAATCCGTGGGAGATGGCGTTACGGCGCTTATGTTTCTATCTTTTCTTGTTCTTGTACATACATACTTGTACGCTTCAATGTTTCGCTTAAAAATATGTGCCGAGCCAGTTCACATGAATGGTCTCGCGTTCCGTTCCGCAATACCGTCAGCTACTCATTTTTCACATTTTCGCTCAATTTGCTTTTCGTAATAGACTCCCAGTAGTTATAACACCGATGTAAGGCAAAATATGTAACTATATTTATTAGGCGCAAGGTCGATATTTTATTCTTCCGACGGCGTCGGCGACGAAGCGAATGAAAGATTTTGATTGGCTGCAGAGGACGGCGCTGTTTCTCTGCAGCCAATCAAATTCTCTCAATCGCTCAGTCGCGCGATGCTGTTGAAAGAATGAAAAATCGGCCATTGGGTAGTTGAATGAATGTGTGCATTCGGAGGAGAAAAGCGGTTACCGATGAGTTGGGAACATGTTGCGATTTTCTGCTGAATGGACTGTTCAGTTTGGTTCAGTTATCATAATATGGCGGCATCCAGTGTTGTGTAACCTAACCGCCTTACAGGACTGACTACAAATATAATTATATTAATTATATTAGCAGTCAGTGCTTAAGCGCGATTTATCGATTGTTACATTGGTTTACCTGGTAGAATACATGATGCACGAGTTTGTAGAAGCAGTACAATCTTCCGAAGACTAACCGACCAGAATAACCCTCTACTTTCCAAAGATGAACATCTAATTGGTGATTCAGCCTATCCATTAATGCAAAATTTATTAACTCCTTTTAGAGATACCGGACAGCTTACGAGAGCTCAAGTTCACTATAATACAAGGTTCAGCTCAATTCGCTCAATCATAGAACGAGCTTTTGGACACTTAACAGGAAAGATGCGAAGATTAAAATATTTATACATAACAGATTTTGATTTGGGGAATAATATAATAGCAGCTGCTTGTGTACTACACAATTATATAATTGACAATAATGATTTTCATGATTGTGATGTAATAGACACCGATGACGATATTGAAATTGATGAAGTTCTTGTAGTTGAAAATTATAAAATTGAGTTACAAACAGCTACAGAGAAAAGAAATAATATAGTAGCTTTGTTGTATCGTAATATCTGAAAGATGAAATTATACTTACCATGTTGCACTGAACTTCTATTTTAGTATGTTAAATAAATCAGATCATATAAAATTAACAAAGTATTTATTAATAAATAGAATGAAACCATATACAATCTTATATTTTTTTATTCAGAACTATTTTCTTTATTAATTAATTTATCAAGAATTTTCTTCAAAATTTCATTTCTGTCTTGTTGAATTTTATTACTTTCTTTTTGTTGTTGATTACTAACTTCAATACTTTGTCGTAGTTTGTCTATTGACTCGAGTCGCTTATTGTCCATATATAACAATTGCCTTCTTATATCATATAAACCTTTAGATTTCATGTTTCTTGTAGATGTATTCTGTGATGTGTGTGGTGAAGTGTGTTCGTGAGAAGTACTGGGTGAAACTGTATCTAATAGTGGTATTGGACTTCTACTAGTACATTCATTCTCTGCAAATAAATTTTCATCTGAATCTGTAATAGAGGAAATTGATTCAAAAAATGGACTTTCTCTACCTGTCAATATTGATGAAGGCAAAGCGACTGATGAAGAAGTAGGAGACGCAGTGCATTTTGTACTTGACAGCGTTGGTCCAATGTTATAAGTTTTGTTTTGAGAAAATAAGTCTTCAAAAGCGTCATAGTACTCCCAATTTATTCTGCCGCGGCCTGTAGTACATTTACTGTAGTTATCCTTTATAGTTCGGAAAGTTTTTTTCATATTCCTCATCTTCCTGTCCAAGATATCTTCTGTAACACGGTGTCCATATTGCGAAAATTTGTTAACCATTTCTGTCCATATATTTTTTTTCTTTATTTTTGGATCACGAAATTGGTTCTTTCGTTCATTATATAACGTTAACAACAGTTTTGTTGTTTTTTTATCCCATTTAAAGTTGCGTTCTTCTACACCTACAATTAAACAAGTCGTTTATATCCAACACAATACATGAAATATTCCAACTGCGTTATGTTCATTTAATAATATTCGTATTTACCATTATCACTTTCAGCTACTTACTTGAAGGATTTTGCACCTTTTCGTTACATACACCAACAACTTCTATAGATGATATATTTTTAGAAAAATATTCGTAACAGAATGTAACGTCTGAAAAAAAACACTCACATGTTCATACTAACTTCATTATTTATTGATTATTAGTTTTTTGGTCTATACTAGGAAGATAGAATACATTAGATTAAGGTTAAATATACATTTCGAAATGACGTACCATTTTGTAACATTTTATGCACTTCTGCACTCTCTACTACATCGTACCGAAGACCGTTTACTTCATATATTTCACTGTAATAATTGATTTCATTTGCCATCCTTGCTTCTTTAACGTGGATCTACACGGTTTGAACTTGAATTTGATCTACCCAACACGTTGAGTATAGGTAGCGTGGAAAATTTATGATACATAAAATGGCGTCTGATCAGTAAACATGTTGAGTGAACGTACCCATTCAGCAGATGAGCGCTAACTCTCAACAGTTGTGTCTCCTCTGAATGGACCCATTGTTTAGCATTATTTTGCAAAATACAGTATATACTTATTCATTTTTTGTATTTACTCTTGCATGTAGGGTATTGACTTTTTGAATAAAAACTACAAATGGAATACTTTTTATTTTTGTTCCTATTATACCATCTGTTGTTTGCTAGTATTTTTGGAAACCACTGTTATTTATATTATGATTGGATTTTAATTTTGCTTCACCAGAGAGTCGGTTTACTAATTTGTTGATTTCTTTTTTAATTAAAAATTCTAATTCACTTTTCTTTTAAGTGTAATGAAACTCAGCTAAGATTGATTTACATAAATGGGTGCATTCAGAGGGAAAAGCGGTTACCGATGAGTTGGGAACATGTTGCGATTTTCTACTGAAAATGGCGATCAGAATGGTCTGATCAGTAAACATGTTGAGTAAACGTACCCATTCAGCAGATGAACGCTAACCGATCACTCAACAGTTGTCTCCTCTGAATGCACCCAATGGGTATTGGTTAATGAAGAGCAGCCAGGGTTAATATTTATAAAAAGGGGGATCTGATTTATTGTTTCTCTTATTTGGTATTTCAAATTCTTTATTATTAGTATACATACAGTAACATAAAACACCACAGGTAATTGAGATGATTTCAAATCATGCGGCATTTTAAGAGTAACTAAATAATATACAACTTTATGCAATACTCGCGCATCATGACAATGATTTACTTATTTCTATGCATATGTATAAAAAAATATATTGAGTTTCATTTCCTAAGCATAACTGTTAAAAAATGAAACAATTACATTATATTCTTAGTACACTGCCATAATTCTGTCTGAAGGTACCTCAAAGAAATCCAGATTTCATTAAAACTTATTGCCATGTGATCATTAATATATGTAGAATGAGCTCAAAAACAATAAATGAAATTAAACATTATGTAACTTTCTGGAATTAATTATACAAATTTTAATCGAATTCAATATCGTTACACTCTTCTACAAATTCTTTTTAATATGTATGATTTAGCTGTATAATGTAAATAAAATATTTGTTTCGATAAAAGTTGTGGATATGTATACACCTTTAACGTTTATAAAAAGCTACAATATTATTATCTACAGCTTAAGATACAAATAAAATATGTAAAATGAATACATGAGTGATTCATCCCATTACTGCAAGATTATGTCGAGCAAACACATTGACATTACTGATACACTAACCATATATATTTATATATTCCGTTGCATTAAGGAAATATTTCAACCAGAGTTCGACTCAAAAACATTTCTTTCGTATTAATAAAAAGGCAGTATTCATTTTCTATTACAATATTCTAAATCATTCTATCCAAAAGATTGGTAACACAATTTCCTCGGACAATACTGATTTTTTACATTAAAGAAACTCAGATTGAACTTGTCCCTCTAACAATTTTTCCATTAATCAATCACCAATGGCAGTGAGTAATATTTAAAACATATCTTAACAGAGCTAAAGTTTATTTAAATTCTGTTCAGTAAATTATGCAGTATGCGACTTTTGTAAAATCATTAAAGGTGCTTACACTTCCTTAAGTAACAAATTAAATTCAATTAATCAAAACGTTATGAAAGTTACAAAATAAATATTGCTTCAATAAAAGAACAATATACAATTTATAATACATTACGTTTATCATTATGTTTAAGATAGTAGTTGTAAATAATTTAAAAATAGATATTCAAGATCAACCTTTTTAAGGCTTAAGAAAAAGATTAGCTCTATGGCATGTAACAACTGTAATTATTAAATATAATTTTGGCATGACGGTGGTAAACTCAGTGTTGCGAATGCACCCTTTATGATAAAAGTAATTGAAAAATTCGTTTTATAAGTATAAAGTTCAGGAAAATATAAATATAGCAGCAGAAATGTCTTGTAAATAGTGAACATTTAGCAATCATTACTAACAGAAGTAAAGATATCGGTATTTTAAAAATGTAAGGAAACGAGATTTTTTTAAAGAGTATGCTCGTTTGATTCTTTTCTGTTCATAGTAATTACAACTTTAAATTAATGATATTCACCTTATACGTTATTGGCAATGCTAATTATGAATATGTTTAAACGCAATATTAGCATATTAATTGAATTTGATGAAGGCAGAGATGATTTTGGCACGGAGCTACATGTTGCGTATGTGTAGAAAATACAGTAGACCGTTTTAAGTTTATATTAAATTTATGATAGAGCAACAAGTTTAACAAACAAGCCTTATGTTTCTGCCTAAAAACTCAGTGTAAAATATTATTCTATTTATATCCTTCGAAAACAGTGTTCTGGCGTTATTATGATTGACGATATTAACGTGGTGTCATGGTACTTAATCATAAACTTGGTTGTGTATCTATGCCGCTCCTAAACTATATATCTTATGTAATAATTAGACGGCGTTTCTTCGATTTAAAAAAAAATAAAAACCCATTGTCATTAGTATAGTTCTCATTTTTCAAATATTGTCATATAAAAGAAATATTAGTATGATGAGAAAGGAAATTGTAACTCAGTTTTTATACATAAGCGAAGTAATTTTATTTTTTATCTATCTTAAAGTTATAATACAGAACAACCTCGATTAGCTTACACCTTTTCTCTTCCAACATCTATTGTGAATTCGAAATTATAGCTAAAGCTGAATGTTAAACACTAGCAATATAGTGTTCATAGTGTTTCAGAAACATTACATTAAGATTGTGTAAGAATCCCATTTAATCGTCTTGAATTCTTTACTTTTCTGCTTATTATGTGTCCTATTTTGCTTGTTAATAATAAAATTCAAATCAAAACTGATTAAATAATTGTTAAATCCAATTAAAATTATTACATTAACTGAAATAGTACTGCAAAAAACAAACCCTCATTGAAACATTTTAATCATTCCGACATGACTTCAAGTTTACATGTTTATATATAATCATCTTACCTATTTTTAGCAAGTTGAGATTATTAGTCACAGGATATTAAGCTACCTGAGGTCTATCTGTTATTACAACTTTGGAATCCTTAATGAGCTGCTAAATTTTACAAAAAATATCGTATTCTTCGTAACCCGTTAAAACTAATCAATCGAATACTTGCAAATGTACAGCTACAAAGTTAGTATTTCAATGAATTTATTATAATGAAACTGTAGCAATACTGTTCACTGAAGTTTATGTGATGCTACTTAATGTAAATTATGAAAGACAATATTAACAAATTGCTGTACATTACATTTCTTTTTACATAGTAACATAACGCGCATAAACACGTATTCCGTACAAGATACTATAATGACGATTTTAATGCAATAAGATGTACATAATATTCAAGCTGAATTAAACTAGTCTTAAACTGTATTAGACCAAATCATTTAACTTTTTATCATCATTAACCCCAATATGAATGTAAAATATCTGCAAAGATAATGAATTACTTCTGATATTTTAATTAGCTTCTGATAAATTGATTTAATTACTTAAGAAGAGCAAAATTCAAAAACCTTATTTATGCTAACAACTGCTGTCCAGTTAATCATTAGCTTATAGAAAAGCAAAGTTTTTTGTCTCCCATAAACTCAAGCAATTCTTCTACATTATACTTGTTCCAATAACGGTTCAACCAATTTAATGCATAACTATTTTTTCTCATCATCGATGAAGTATTGGACGAGTCTATAATATTCATAGATAAGTCTCGTAAAGAGGCTGAAAAAATGTTTTACACACATATACGTATTGTTACTATTTTTTTTCTGTCCATCACGCTGATTATACGTGAATCTTGTTCAATTGCCAGAAGAAGTTATAACTATTATATGATGCACTCAGCACACACTCATTTGCTAACCTTATAAATAAAGCCTTATTCCAATAGTCGCCTGACTGATTATTACTAATTCTTGTAAGCGCGACGTTCTCATCACTTTAGAAAAGTAATGTGTTGCTTAGATCAGTGGCAGCAGAGAGAACAAAACGAGTAGAAGAAATACATATCTTTTACTAAATATCCAGTAGGCTGTGCTTAGTAAAGCGTAGCCTCATCTGCAGACACGGTTAATTCTTCATCACTCCAATCACTAGCGCCTAGACCAGCTGATCCATGGAAGCTTTGTGATCTTGACACATGACTGAAAATGAAAAAAAAAAATTGTTTAAAATCAAACGTTTGTTATGGGGTAAATACTTAAGAAAGAACCAATTCTGTCCTATACGTAGTATTAGGTTAATTTGCAAATCTTACGCTATATACTAAACAAAACTTTCACTGAGCAAACGATTCACTTAACCTTTATTACCAAACGGGGACTTCTGATGTCCTTGTACCAATCTAATACATTAGAATGGATTTAAAATTGTGGTTAAAGGTTAAGAATCATGAAGCACACTATATTATCTATTCAATCGGTCATTCAAGTTCGAATTTACTGTCTAGATTAATGTTGATTGATTTGATATTTTCAAAACGATAAACATGGTATAATTTTTTAATTCTAGGCATTACAATTTTACAATTAAACGATATTACTTAAAGATTTTCATCAAATAAGAATAATGAGAAGCTTTCATGATTTATTAGAAAGCTACATTAAAAATGTACGCCACGGATTGTTTTTTCCTCTCAAGATTAAATAATCTTTACTTATTTTCTGTTTATCTTTTACCGCTGTCGACTAAAAATTTAAGAATCAATTACTTCTCACTGAACGTCCGATTATATTTCTTTGAATACAAGAACAATTTAAATCTGATCTATGAGACATCAAATACTACATCTACATATTAAGGGTACCCATAAGTAATCAATTATTTTGAACAAGGTGTTTTAGACGTCAAAAACTTTGATTACTTATGGGTACCTCTAATACATATTCTATACATATTTTGATTTGGATCAGATTAATGTTTAATGAGCGAATGAAAAATCTACACACAAGATTATTACGTGAAACTGTCCTAATATTACAAACTCATCCACAAGGTAATTCTAATTTCATTTTGGCATTTCTATAAATTGGTATTGAACGATAATAGTATAAAACCATTTTACTAAACTAACATAAAATACTGGATTATTGAATTATCTATATCAACAGTATCATATGAAGAACATACAAGAACTTTGAATATTAATTTTATATTTTGGTTCTTTCTTTCGACATGCTGAAGTCATATGAAGATAGAACAGTTAAGGCACAAAGTAAATCCAGCTGTAAGAAGCATTAACAGGCTTCAAACAAAACAGGCACAGTGATTGTGATTCCTCTCGTGGTCATTTCTTGAAAACCGTTACATTCAAGTTGCAGAGGATATATGCCATGCAATGAGAATGTTTGTTTTTAAAATTAAGCAATATTTAGGGGACGAGTATCTGCAGTAGAATGTTGTTATATAATGAGTAATTTATAAAGCCTGGGCAATGCATCATTGCCTCATTCTTTTCATGGCATGTATACTCTCCAAGTGTAAAATGCACAACGTAAAGTCCGACTTGTGCTATGAAGCAATAGTATTACAGCGTGTTCTTTTCAGGAGGTTCAGTAAAAATATCCACTCATTTAATGATAAAGAAGCACCTCCTAAAAAAACTCAGACAAGATGGTCAAATGTATATGTACTGTACCGCTTGTATCGAAGACATTATCTTTAGATTATTGATCGCTATCAGTCCTAACAAAATAATGAAATAGTTACTACAAGTGATATTTTATTATGTAACAAGTGATGAACTGCATGGTTTACTCACCTTGGGGAGACATTCGCATTTAGGTTTCTCTTTGCAAGACCAGCTTTTCGTCTTCCTTCCAGAGCTGCTTTCATAGGATCGTAACTCTTTCTTCGTTTCCAATTCTGCATCTCTACTTCTTTTGAACTGGGGGTACTAGGTTTTTTGGCCTCCTTTGATTTAAGTTTAGTAGCCTGTACATAGATGTCAGTGTCAGTTTTTCGTAATGTATTAAAAGTTTTTGAAAACCAAAGTAACCATAAGCTTACAATTCTAGAGTATCACTTTCAATAGTATATGGACTGATTTACGTAAAATCATGTGATATACTGCTATACTTTCTTAGAAACCTTAATTATTGTACATTGGGAATTAAATCTTACAGTGCTGGATGATTTAGGAAGGCGCATGCTAAAACGTCCAGAGTCAGTTCTTGAAATACCAGAAACCGCTTCAGGCTTTCCTCTTGTATCACGCGAGGAACTCCTTGTTTTGATAGTCAATGGTGGTACGGATTTTGTTTCTTGCGGTTCTAACCTGGCTCTTCGTAAACTAAACATATTTCATAATGTAAAGGAATATATATGTTAACATTTAACATTGTGTGAAAACGCTGCTTTGTAATTGACTTTTGAAATAGATTGCTTCCTTTACCTGAAAGCTCTGTTATATTTTGTATTCGTGATAGACGGTTGCACTGCAGGCGGCGGTCCATCGCTACTTTCCGTGTCGCTTTCTTGATGAGTAGGTCTATCTGCAGAACGATGCAAACTGTGACTTGTATCTTCGTCGCTTTCTCCTCCGGAATCTACTAATGCTGGATTGTATACTGTTATACGGGCTGACATAGCAGAAACGACATTTTGTGTTGTTTGCAGGTACGAAGAAGTCTCCAAGTCGCTATCGCTTCCCTGAACATAAACATATATTTCTATTAAGAGTCAAATTAAGTTATAAGTGAATTTTCTCGTTAATTGGGTACAACGTAATTTTTATACTAAATCATTGCATAACCCGGAAACTTATAAACTGTTAACTTGTGGGAATTTACCAGTTGTGGACTACATGGTGGCGGTGCCTGAATGTTTTTCTGATCGTCATCAATTTCATTGTCTGACCAATCGTCAGCTAAAGAGAGAGTACCGCCGGTTCCGTGAAAGCTGGCAGATCGTAACACTGAATTATCACGACTGAAAATAAAAATTACAACATATGAGAACAATTACACCCTTCTCATTGTTAGCATTTATAACTATAAAAAGGTTATTACCCCATTTGCATCATGACTCTATTTAAGCTGCCGCGCTGAAACATCAGCGACGTTCAATTGACGACTGGCTCGTATCACCGCGCGTGGACGGTCTTATGTGCAATAAAAGACATTCGGCGGATTATTCCGCGGTTGGTGATACTAGACAGTCGCGGCTCGCGGAATATTCCGCGCTTGGATGCAAATGGGTTAATAGAAATGTGCATTCAAACGCGTGGAACGACAATTACGAAATAGAGCTATCTTCGGTGCTATGAGTTTTCTTCGAGTTATCCAATTTCTTTTTGCCCTCTGCTGCTGCCTTCATGGGATCATAATTTTTACGCCTTTTCCAATTTTGGAACTCAACTTCTTTCGATGTAAGAGTGGAATTACTTCTTCCTGACTTTTGATCTTTGTTGGGTTTCTGACTAGGCCGCTGAGATGAGTGCTACAATGTTAAATAAAGAAAATTAATATGTAATATACTGTGAATCTTTACTTTGTGAGAACCAGTCATTTGTGGATATATCGATAAAAATTAAGTTGAATTAATTTCTCACATGAGAAGATTTTGAAGGCCACATGCTAAATCTTCCACTATCGGTTCTAGATGTTGAGGGAGTTTTTGACTTCACTGGCTCTGGTTTCTTAAATACTTCTTTACTATTTGAGCCTATGCTGTTCATACGTCGCCGATGATGACTCTGCTGCCTACTTGAACACGTAACAGGTTTCACTTCTACCTGAGTTCTTTTTCTCCTTTCTTCTGGTGTAGTGTTCGGCGTTGTATCAGATTCACAATTCAATCTAAAAATAATATTTGAAGACAATCCTCAAGAATACTTTACTACAATTTTGCTAAAATTAAACCTACACTAAGCCTAAATTAGCGTAGAAACTTTGCATTCTTCTATTCAAAACTACCAAACTCATACTAAAAACACATCTTAACCTTGCTCTTCGTATACTGAATGCTCTATTTAGTTTAATCCCTGAAGAAGATGACTGCAATAGTTTAGGTGGAGCTTCTCCTGTTTCACTACTACTGTCGGAAGCCACAGCAAATTTTCCTCGTAAAGACAGTTTTTCGGTATCACTGTTGTTGAAACTACTATGCCTCGCCAGCGCATTAGTCAGTCTTACATTTCTAATGCTAGCGCTACTGGACGATCTTTGTACACTTCCACTACGACGCATTACTGGACTATTTTGTAGCATGCTAATTGTCGTTGTAGATAATTCTTTTCCACGAATTGTTGTATCTTCGTGGTAATTAGTAGTGCTACTGGACTTTCGAAGCATGTATGGACTGTAAGAAAAATTAGAATTACATTTTGAACACATGTATTAGTGACTCCGTTAAAAACACAAATGGATGATAAACTGAAGAATCAGAAATAAGATGGTTAAGTAATCTTACCCAGGTCATACATATATTTGTACATTAGATCAACCCATTGCACCATTATTTAAATTTATAAACATGAATATGTATATTTTGCTTTCAACTTTTGTGTATAAAGTTTTAAAAAATTAATGTTATTAATGTAGATTATTTGTTAGCTTTACAATTTGCATATTTAAACTTTGTTACTAACCTATTTTCAGTACAAACAAAGTACCCAATATTGTTGGCTTGTGGAACAGACTTTGTTAAGCTTCTCGCTTTACTTAGTACGGGAGAGTTGCAAATTCTTGTTGCAAGTTCCTTCCGGCTTAATATTGGACTGTTAGTTAGTTTTGGCGTGGATGGTTGAAGACGATTTAGAACTGGACTGCTTGTTAGCTTAAAATTATCTTCTAAACTATACTTTATATCGTTCTTTTTAAATGTCGCAGATTCCGCAGTATCAGACATATATTGTTTCCTGTAACAATATGAATGAGTGAAATATAACTTGATGCTACACAAATAAAAAAACCTTTTGTTCTTCAAGAACAAAGTCGAGCATTGAAACAAAATATAATGAGAAAATATGTAGACGATAAAGACAATCTTTAATTTAGCCTAGACGTAGTATGTGTATTTTAAAGCACTAAGCAATAATCTCTATAAACGTGTACGTAGATAAACAAATTAAGTTTACCTGTCCAGAGAGCTACTTCTTCTTCCCGCTTTAAGGGCCGCCAGAGCATGGGACGGATTGCTTGCAACTGTTGATACAGTTTCATCATTTCTTTGTTCATTTCTTGGTTTACTATTAGTATTAATATATTTTCGGATACTCCTTCGTACATCGGAAGCATTAACTCTTCGAAGTAAAGCTTCAGATAGGCTACCACGCCTAATCAATGCATTGTGCGTTGGAGTCCTTTGGGAGCTATGGGGTGGAGTATTGTAACTATTACTTGTATCATCATCTGATTCACCTCCTGAGTCAATTAGTGCTTGTCGATTTTGTAATAATCCAAGGTTTTCATTTGCACGTAAACAGGACTCCGTATCCAAGCTGCTGTCACTCTGCTCCTAAAACAAATTGTAGTGTGTAAAAAATGGTTATCGTTAATGTGTTATCCTCTATTTAAATAGTGTATACCTGACGATTTCTAGACAATCTCTGAGACCTTGTGTGTATTGGAGAGGGTATCTTAGATGGACTCAATGGAGATGAACGTCCTTCTTTTCCCACTACTGATGAAGGGAAAGAGTTATGTTCAGCCACTTGCGTAGCCCATTCGGATATCCAAGTATTATTATCTCTGGATACACTTAACTAGAACAAAGCAAACCAATAAATAATGCAGTTTATTTCTTTTCTGTATCTTAATTGAATGCAAAAATTCTACCTTGAAACTGTGAACATAAGCCTCATTGCTTTCTTCTTCTGTAAGGACACCTACGCTAAAAACCTTGTCAATGTCCATTCTTGCTTTTTCTTCATCTGTGTAATCTTTATGAATTGTGTAAGTTCCTGCTTCACTTACTGCTCCATCTGATTCTCCATCTAAATTACTAACGTTGAAAACATCTAAATTAGTCTTTTCAAAACCATCAGCATTAGAGCTTGACCTGCAACTAATACTCGATGTGTGCATGTTACTATCTTTAGTGGCGTCATTCTCATAACCATTAAACTCAGGGTCATTGGTTAAATAATGTTTGTTAGATATTTTTTCAGTCACATTAAGATTTGAGATGTGTAAATTGTCTTCCCCTTCATGATCATAATCAGCCATGCTATATTCTTTACATTCTATATTTTTCGTATACTTTTTTTCAGGAGAATATTTGGCACAATTTGCTTCTTCTAGGTTAGAAGAGGTTTGTGCTCTACTCAAATTATTCATTGTAATTGAATTTTCTGTATCCTGTCGAGGACTCATTTCTGATTTTGTTGTATGTTTAAGGTCCAATGAGAGTTTTTCTCGAGCAGATTGAGGAGACTTCTGGTGTCCATGATTAGAATGTGATATTAGTTCCTCCGCTGTTTGTTCACTCTGTGATCTCGACATGGTATTCATTTTTTTTGTATCACAATGAGAAACATTTATTGGAGATTTTAAACCTGAAACAAAAAATTTAATTAAAAAAATAAAAAGAGGGCGCAAATCATTAAAATAATGGTGTGATGAGTACCACATATTAGGTCACTCATCTTTCAGTGCTACTTAGGAACACACTGAAAGAATATTAATGATATTTCCTCGAGACATTAATGGTCATAGTGGCAATGGTGAAGATGACTTCACCATGAGTCATTCCTGAGAAGACAAATCCTTCAATACAATGATAACTATATATTGCTAAGATGATACAAATTCAATATAGTTCTAAAAATATTATAAATTTTTCACTTTTACAAATTAAAAAAATTTGTACATTATTTTTTAGACCTACCTAATTGATGTAATTTTTGTGAAAGCCTATCAGCCTTTCGTTTGATATTTTCTTCTTGGTCACTACTGAAATAACCTTCAGAATGAGTATGAGAAAGTGTTGGTTTTTGCACCACACTGGAAGAGACTGGCATTGACTTCTTTGACCTTATTTCAACCTAAACAAGGCAAATTATAACCTTAAAACTAATAGAAAGGTTAAAGTAAAAATTTATATTAATTCTTTATATACTTTTACACTTCCTAGTTATAAAAATAAAAATAAGTTTTACACAACATATACTATAATGGCTTCCTTATACCCTTTGTTTATATAAAGCCAAAGTACAACAAAATTATCCTAAATTAAGAGAAACTAACCTTGGACATTGATGAGTTTCGTTTATGTCTGGCATTGTATCTTTCAAATAAATTATGATATCTTACAGAATCTACTTCCTTATCAGCAAAGTCGATTGTAAACGCTAATGCTGATTGAGAAGTTCGGGCAGAAATACTACGATCTTCTGATGCGTTCGTTTCGTTCGATTCATTTGACGCTGTGTGTATAGCTGATTCAGGAGATGCACCTGACTGTTCTTGATTTGTCAAACCACAAGTACCTCCTAGGTCACCTTTGTTGTTAATAACTTGCATATCTGGAAACACCTTTCCTTGATCTAAACCATGCTCTGGAGAGTTTTTGGTGGTCACGTGTGAAATGGACATCACCGTACCGATCAGTTCTAAGTTATTGTTTGTTACATTCGCAAGTGTCGTAGAATGATCGGTAGTCACCGAATTTTCACGATTTTCTAGAATGACAGTATCAGTCGAAGTGGCTGTCAAAAGTCGGTCGTTAGCCCGCCTGGACGCATTTTCCACCTGCATGTTCACGGTGCGTGAACATTCCAAACCGTTAAGTTACTTGAACAATAGGTGGAACAATTGGTAATACTTGACAGAAACGTATATACATACATACGAGCATCAGCTATACTTTCTTCCTGGATGACAAAGTCCAACGAAAACAGCGAATGGTAAAAGCATCTTGACGTATGTATGTATGTATATATATGATTATGTGTATGTATTTATGTATGCACGCACGTCGCGTATGGCGCGTGTGATTATGTGTAAGTTGGAACTGTATGGAACTAGGTGCGTCGGATCAGCCCGATGTAGAAATGAATCAAGAGTTCTTTCACATATTGGTTTGCGCGATCGTGGTATGGTGCTACCAACGTACGGAGTGTTCAGGAAGCTCATATATACAAATTTCTCACATCGGAACATAAATTTAGATGATAAATCATTATTTTGTGCTGATACTTAAGTTAGATTTTGGAAGAAATAATTTTGGTGAAACAAAAACTTTTTATAAGTCGATAATGTAAAATTTAAAGAACGAAATGCAAGCTTCGAATTTTGTTAAATTATGCATTTTATAATACTTATATTTCTTTTTTTCTTAGTTTATGAAATGAAATATAACAGTTCGTGATTAGTGGAACTATTTCGTAGATACCAATTAATACATTTACACGTTCGGTCTTATAATGGTTTTATAACAATCACTGTTATAACCATCGGCGTTAAGCGTTGTATAAACGTCGTTTTATAACAAAGTTATCTGTAAAATCGGAGTAAAACTGAGTTTACCCATTTAAGACCAATAGTTATAATACCAGTAGTTATAAAACTGATGTAAAGCAGAACGTGTAAATGCATTAATCGGGGTTGATTATGTTTGTTATTAGAAAACACCCAACCACCGTTCTCGACGATTGTTGTCCAAAGTCGATTGGTTTGAGAACACTCGAAACAAAGGACGCTTGGGCATGGCTTGGGTACGCAAGCATATAGACGCCATATTAATTTGTCAACGGACGTCAAGGGATTCTTGTCGACAGTCTGGATACATTTGTATCAAAATACCGTTATATCCTCAGTGCGTTAGATTATTTCTGCTTACGTGCCGTTCAACTTGCCTTCCGATATGGCGTCTGTGGATCTTGAAAAGCGCAAGCGGGAAGAATACGAAATGCAGCTATTTGACATTCATTCCAGATCCTTTTATACGACTTGTAAGGGAACGCCGTTTTGACTTTACTTTGAATAGTTTTCAGGAGTTGCAGATTTTCATCCAGAAGCCACGTTTCAATCGCCGGATGGGTGAACTCTAGTTTCATGTAAGTTTGGTCATGACTAGAGTCACACTCGTCCAGTGCTTGGAATATTATCATCGTGTACCTAGGATGGACTCACAAAAGCTGTTACATTTTTCATTTATTCGATAAAGTAAATTGACTCATAATTTTAATACGACTGTGTTTTCTTAGTCTTAGCAAATAGAGTTTCATTTTGTGTTATAAGTTTCTTAGCAAACCTTTTTAGATGCTGAATATTCCTTGATTTTTTACTGTATAATTAATTGGGCTTAAATTATTGATTAGGCATAGAATTGAATGAAATATAATCTGATAAAGTAAGATGATCTTTGTACGAGAATTTAAATATACTTCCGTTAAAGACTATGTCTATATAATGTGAACTTCAAAGAGTTCCTGTCATTTTAAGAACTTGATTTATATAGGTCTTTCGATAAATGGCATGGATTTATTATTTTGTATATAATTTTCTTATTATTTACAGTAAAAGACCTAATATATGAAAGCATTCAGTCAAATTGTGAGAAATTATGTAAATCGATCGAAACAAATTATAAGCTAGATTTGAACGATGCTGCCCTGCTTAAAGAGGAAGGAAAACAATTAATTGCATTGTATCATCAAAATGCACAATCCCATTTGGAAATTATAGAGGTAATTATAAGAAGGTATATACATTTCTATAATAAAAGTATCGATGTAATGTATTTTATGATTTTAATGTGTGGGGTATAACTTCTGATTTTTAGAATACTGTTAATAAATTTATTAATATACCACGTAATGTTTTATTGGATGAGGATAAAGAGCAAGCTACTCAATACACCAAAGAAGAATTTTTAAATCTTCAAAGCAGGCTAAAACAGTTGCAACAAAAAGTGAAACATGTAAGAAAAAGCAAACGTTAAAGAATTAAAATTTATACCTTTATTTGTAATTTCAGGCGACTATGTTGAATGCTGCGTTGAAGCAAGAATTACAAGAAATGACGGAGCATAAAATTGATACAAATATGCTCCATAATTTATGTGATATAATCGAGGCTGGTATAGACTTGCCAGTTGTACATAACAATATGTTAAAGTTGACAGAAAAATGGCAAGAAGTGAATAACCAGTTATATCAACTCGATTCAACTGATACTGAAAATATTTACAGATTAAATATTGATAGCAGTGAGCTTAAGACATTTGATGAAATGCTATTATAATTAAAACTTTTATGGCAGTGCTCAATATGAGCTAAACATGGTATAGTTGTTCTTACTGTTAGAGATTGTAAATACATTTGTACATTCCATGAATGTTATTATATGTATAATATTTTAGGTACCTTAAAATTTTCTAAACTTTATCATATGAATTTAATCAAAACTATTGTATGCTACTAGAATCTTTGTAATATACGTTTATTTGATAAAATTCATCTTTTACAAATTTTCTTGTAACATTTTTTAATAATTCTACACCGCATCGATTCTTTTATAACGAGCAGAGATGTCCTCTGTAACTAGCAACCTGTTCAAAATGAATATAATGTATTTTTGAACAAGTAATAATCCTGTTCTTCAGTCGGTAAGTGTGTGTTTCGTTGAATGTCGATACATTATCATCAGTACAAAATAGTACAGTAAGTACATCAGACGATACATTATTATCATCGCGTTTAGTGGAATTCCGATCTAACAGAATGTCATTAAATCAACAATCTCTGGAGTTATTTCAATAATTTTTCATTTTTTGAGAATGTATGGAACCTTCACCTTTCCTATGACATGATTTACCATCTTCATAAATGTAATTAAAATTTAGCATGCTGCATAAAATATTTCTTTATTTTTTAAAATCGTAAAAAATTGAAATCTTATGTTTTGTATAATTTAGACAGTAAGTTGATCAATTATGAGAACAAAGTTTTTTGATAGCTATTGACTTTTCCATCATCGCAATAGATTTGGTATCGATAGTATTTACCGTTAATTTACGTTTCCGTCGTTTTAAAAAATTATATTTCCTGGGGTTTTTAGAAGCGGGAATTGTGAAGCTTTAAAGCTTTGCCGATCCTACGCGAGATTTTAAAAGCTTTTATGAAAATTCACAAGAAGTAAACTGTGAGACAACAAACATTTCGGAATTGCTGTATCCGATTTTTCTGCAAAATCCCTTCAATGGTCGATTTATACACTTCGATCAGACACGATGCGGAAACGTAACATTTCTGGCAATGCAAACATTCTTTACGTACGTTTCTAATAGAAGTATTTACATTCAACGAATTATATTTGTTCAGATACATTGCGTGTCATACGTGCACTGTTCGACAAGTTACCAAAAATGTTTTTTAATGTCATAAGGACCGATTGTGTGCGCCAACATTCGAGTTAAAATCCTTAATCAAGAATTACTTAATGCGTGATTAGAATTAATAGTCCGATTTTGGGAAGTTACTGAACAGTGGATTTTAATTTTCGATTAGCTTAATTTTTGTCGGATTTCTTAACTACAATTCGAGATTAACTAATCATAGTTAAGAAATTTAACGCTAATCACGATTAGTGCAATCGGCCCTTAGTTTAGTTATAAATTTGGTATTTGAACTAAACTGATGGTATAGATATATCCTCTGCTTTTGTCGAAACGTTAACGCCACGTTTCGAGTGCCGTGTCTGACCCGATAGGACAAATCGACCTTAAATCTTACTATAGAGTAATAAATAGTCGGTGGAGATATTTAACGCTTTGTGGTCCGCAGTTCGAAGTACACTGTTAAAAAAATTCATAAAATTCATACACCTTGAGTAACATAAGGTTGCAATAAAATTATGAATTGGATGTCTTAATAGTGAATTAGTATAAATTTATTATAAAAATGTAAGTAAATTCATAATTTTATATCATCATATTGTAATTTTGTAAAATTGATATTGTAATTATGTAAAATTGAAAGAAAAATTATACATTTGATATTCGAAAGTCATTTGGTACATATTGTTTGCAAATTTTTAGATGAGTTTTTAATTTTATGATCGTTTATTTTTAAACAAATTTAATCGGGAGATGACAAGTATTGGAGAGATTGACGGGGAGGCATTGTAGCGACATTCTTGAATCCAAGAAGTATTGAAATAATATTTAAAGAAAATTCTTACATTCAGTAGAAGACTGGAGTCTTCTACTGAAGTAGCATCATGGACATCGTGACTACTATTGCCCGTGAGTTTCGGGTTCGGTACTCCTATCATTGCAAAAACATTTTATCGTCGTTTAACTCTTTGAGGCACGGTGGTATTAAAAGTGTCCCACCTTTTAAGGTGAAGTGAAACACGTCGAGGAACTTGATCGACGTTGATAAAGAAGATTTCTCTAAATGCCTATGTTGCCGTTCGTTTTTATATTGACAGCTGTATAGAATTATATTGGATATTGTACCAAATGGCATACTCCACCTGTCGTTTTCGTACAATAAATATCAAGAAATCGAAGTAAAACTCCAGAAATCCTGTGGGTTCATGCTTTCTGGGGCCGTAATTGACTGCAGAGGGACACCCTGCGCCATCTGTGATTTCCAGGTCAATTAAATTTTCACTCCGAGACCTCGTATTCCCATCGTTTTAGCATAGAAGCGCATACAACACTTTCTTTGCCTTTATTCCGTTGAAATTCGAATTTATCGATTACTAGAGAATTCTAAATTGTCGTAAAATTGTCCTAACCCTTTAGGTTCTCATATCAGAGCCTTCGATAATTGTATATCGATCGTAATATGAGAGCTCGACGCCATTTTGGTTCTGGTCTGGGCTAAGTTAAACAATTTTTTCCAAAAATCCAAATTTTCAATGTCTCAGGACAATTCTTAGATGGTCAGGAGTGATGTGTCAATGTTTCGGATAATTTGGTCTAATACCCTTAAAAAAAAGTGTTGTATTCGAATCGACTGATTTGAAGGGGGTTTCACTTCACCTTAATGCGGTGGGGTATAAATGCCGTGCCTCAAAGGGTTAAGGCAGAGTTGTCTCTAAAAACGTACTCGAATGGGTCCGGAACATATGACAAATTTACTTGTCTACAGAAAAATGTTTAAAATCAAGTACTGATCAACACAAATTTCTAACATGTTATAAATTTATTACACATGTGTACTACATTTATAATATATGTTATACGTTTTATTTACAAGCATGTTTTGAAATGAGTACACCTTGACTGAATAAAATTTCCAAGAAAAATGTTATAAAATTATAATATTTTTTGAACAGTGTACACTCTATAGCGCTCTCTGGCTCAAACTGATCCTAAGATATGTACTTGGCCGCGTCTTTTTGGTCATAAATAAATGTCAATGTAAAAACTCTTATTAATATTAGTTTTTAATTTGTTTTCAACATAAATTTAAGGTTCTTCCAGCGATGGCTTCGTATCGTTGACAGACTGAAACGTCGAAAATTGCGCGACGGTTCCGTCCTTTCAGCGAACTGCAAAATGTTATAAAGAAAATTTGAATATTCACCGATATCATTTCATTCCATATGGGAATGCCAAAACATATGACAAGTTTGCGTATACTCGTTTCATTTGTATTAATTGAATTTTGTCGTAATCAACAAACGATGTTTATCTCGTGCACATATTTCGTCAGTTTGCTGCAGTTCTTTGCATCTATCATTATGCCGTAAGCTCACATAGAAATTAATGAATGATGAAATCAAAATAAAAACATATTCTTTTTTTTCAGTTACTATTTGATCGATAGATAATTATTACGACTTTAGAGTGGATTATTCAATCGGTTAAATGATGCAAAATTGATTTAATATACATATATTATAGAAAAAGTAACGAAATCAGTTAAGAAAAAGCGACAAAATATAACGAATAATTATAAATAAAAATGTTGAAACCGGTCATTTGACCATCTTGGTAGTTTTAATGTAGAATCCGAACGGAAATCATGCGTTTGAATATCAGAAATCGCGTGGAAATTACCGAGAGCATTGTTGCATTAACGTGTAATTAAAATTCTCCAGAGCGACAACGATAAAACTCGTTAAGAATGATTTGAAATCAGCGGGAGATCATTCGATACGAAGTAAATGACAAGCAGAATGAACATTATAGAAATTCCTGGAAATCATCCGAAATTTTAACGTCGCACGTCATTTACCATCGAATTATCTTAATTCATATGAAATCGATGGCAATCAGTTCCGAAAGACCCATACTTGGATACACGCTGCTCGATTTCCGAGAGAATGGCCTCGACTTCGGAATTCGGTTTTGTTTTTTCGCCAGACGGCTGGACGCCAAATCCGAGTCCACCGATTCTCGGTATTCCGGGGAGCATTAAACTTAGAAATCTGGAAACAAAGCTGCGCAAAATGGCCACCTCCCGCGCCGTTACCAACCGTTACGGCGCATGCGTCGTAGGCGTCCGCCTCTTGCTTTCTCTCACCCCCCTACTCCCAACGGTCACCGGCGCTCCGATTGGCCGAAAGCGTCTCGTCTGGGCCAGATTTCCCTGAAATTCGTCCAATGTGGAGCGTAGAAGGGGCACGGTACGTGACTTTGCGGGCCTAGTTTGAGTTTTGCCCGCGAACCGAACGGATCGTGGTTGATTCGATTCCCGGTGGCGCGCGGATTTTCGTTCAAGCCTAGGTTTGAAATACGCATCGCGAGTTTTTTCTCTTTTTATTTTATAGAAAATTTATTATACAGATTTACTATACAGATTTATAGAAAAACGCGACGCCGAATCCTGCGGCGAGTCCTACATCAGGTGGGTGATAACGAATTTGCAATGAAGTTTGCGACGGAGCTGTACTGAGTTTACCGTGAATTTTTAGCCTATTCAATCCTGATTGCGAAAGTGCCGGGGGAATTTCTTACGAAATTTCGCGATCCTTTACGGTCCTTCGTCGATTCTGCGCAGAGGGGGGTGGATGATCTAGAGAATTTGAAAACTCATTGGGTGAGCACTTGCTGAATTTTACCGACACTGTTTCAGCTTTATTATATGTTAATGTGATATGAGAGGGTTATTCTGTATATAGAAAAAGTGAACATATTTATAAAACTTTTATTTAAACTAGGTGGACCGAATTATTTGAAACTTAAGCACGTGATTATGGAGGCCCTAAGGAAAACAGTGGTGCTCGTGAAACTTAGTTTTAAAAAAAATATGCCTTTGGTACCAGTCTGGGAGAGATATACATTTTTTTGGGGGATAAATTAAATTTTATAAGGATCGCGGTCTTCTTAGGGCTTCCATAAATATCTGTTGATGTTTCAAATGATTCGATGCACCCAGTTTGGAGATAAGTTTTATAATGCCGGTACATTAATCTGGCCGGAGTTTCGTTGAGCCTTTCGGGTGTCATACGGAGCGCGGCGCGTCGATGCGTCGCGAACGACAAATGAATTGAAATTGCGGCAAAAGCGATGCACGTGATTAAGCGCAATTTCGATTGATTTTTCATTCTCGACGCGCAGACGCGACGCCCTCGGTGTGACATCCTACAGGATCAGTGGGACTCCGGTCCGTCGTGCTTCTACTGTGTGCCCGATTCGAGCCCAAAAAAGTTTAGTCAATTAATTCAGGAAACTAGATAATTAAAAAATTTGATTAAAAGTAAAGGAGGACCGAAGCTAGTTACGACAGGAACAAGTAGTGCTATTTAGGGTTGGTTGCGCCTATCGTGATTTTACCCGCAAATTTTTTAAACTATAATTAGTTAATCTTGAATTAGTGCAATTCGTGTTATACCGACAAAAGTTAAGCTAATTGAAGATAAAAATCCATTGACTGGTAACCACCCGAGTTCGGGTGATTATCTGTAATCACGTGTTAACGTATTCGCGACCGGCAAATTTTTTCCGTTTCAAATACTGAGTACCGGCGAAAATAATGAAATTCTGAAACTGGTTGCTGCAAACTTGTATCGTTAAAGCAAGGATAAAAATGATAAAATTTGTGCGCCGCGCTGGCTAACAATTAGTGAGCCAACTAAGCAGGACGTGATTTACGTTAGCGGCAATTAGGAATAGAATTTAAAATGACGTGAATTAACGTCAGCGGCAACTAGGAATAGAACTTGAAAAGACGTGAATTCACGTCAGCGGTCGCGAATGTGTTAAATAATCCTCGATTAAGGATTTTAACTTCAATGTTGGTGCAACCGGTTCTTGGATTATTAGGTAATCCATAAAGTGAAATGATTTGAATAAAAAATAAGATGTTTTTCCAGGAAATTATTTCTTCAAATGAACTTAGAGAAGTGAAACAGTTTGGATTTTTTACTTTATTATATATTTCTTCATCGTCACGTCGTATCATATACTTGATATATATTATTTAAATAACGTTCGACATTTTTCTAGTGGACTGTATTTCTTTGATTTTATGCTACAGTTTTAACTCCATTCAAGGAAATAATTTCCTTCAAGAAAACATAATTTTTCCCTGGTATAGCGAATAAAACTTCGACCGTGATATAATTTCAGAAATTAGGGCGGTCCTCGGTTAACTCCACGATCGCGATGATGTCGAATAGTTACGCCTCGAAATCATACGTGGCTCCTCCGATGCCGGAAAAGGACGTGTACGAGCAATGTCGGGTGACTTTGCGTCTGCTGAACCTGACGCGTTCCACGAAGTACGAGCTGGTGCAGGAAAACGGACAGCGTCGATTGACGGCCCCCGAGGTGACGGAAGGCAGGATGGTGCGCCCCAAGGGCGCGGAGATCTTCATAGGTCGACTGCCAAGGGACTGTTACGAGGACGAGCTGATGCCGTTCCTGGCGCGGATCGGCCGTCTTCTGGAGCTCCGGTTGATGCTGGACTTCTCCGGGACCACCAGGGGATACGCTTTCGGCCTTTTCGAGGACTCGAAGACGGCCAGGCGCGCCTGTCGCGAGCTCGACGGCTTAGAAATTCGACCGGGACATCGCGTCGGAGTCGTCAAGTCCATCGACAATTGCAGGCTCTTCTTCGGCGGGGTGCCGAAGGACAAGACCAAGGACGAGTTCATGCAGGAACTCGGGAAGATCCTCGAGGGTATCGTGGACATCTACTTGTATCCCAGCGCACAGGATAGGTCCTTGAACCGAGGCTTCATATTCGTCGAGTTCAAGGATCACCGATCAGCTGCCATGGCCAGGCGCAAACTCATTCCTGGACGCATCGTTTTATGGGATCACGAGATCGCCGTCGATTGGGCCGACCCCGAAGCCGGGGATCCGGTCGACGAGGACGTCATGGAGACGGTAAGCTGGGAGATGGTGTTACGTAAGCGGGAGAGACATTCGACAAGAGGTGTGGGTGGTTTAAAGATTAATGGTCGATTGGTTTGATTTTAAGAGCATCTTGGAGGCAAGTGGCTACGTATTGATGCAGCTTCGGACGTATGCTATGATCGTACTTCAAAATTATTGTACAGAGAGCCTGGATTTTCTTATGGGATGCTTATTCTTGGGTGGGGAGCTGCATGATTTTTCTGGATGCACTTTATTTTGCCTGAGTCGAAATTTTCGATTGAATCTTTAAATTTCTTGTACTTGTTTGATCATTTAGTTTCCTCGCAGAAAATTCATTTTCATTTATTCTTACTCGTATGAGATGTTTATTCTGGGAGAGGGGCTGCATGCTGTTTACGAGTGCACTTTATTTTGCCTGTGAGGAAATTATCGATCGAGCTTCTACATCTCCTGCACTTTTATCGATCATTTAGTTTGTCGGGAGAAATTTCATTCTCATTCTGAAAAGTCGCGGAATAGAGTAGGTTGTTCCGTTTTATTTAAGTTAAATTTGAAAATCTTTGGATTACTAATCATTGAAAGAAGACAGAACAAGAGTAATTCGGAAATATATTAGAAATAGGAGTCGATTGTTTTGTAAAATTTAATATCACAATTTATGTTGATAATGTATGTAAAATGCTACTCTTGGGGTCAGGGGTGAAGGGGAGGACCTCGAGAAAAAAATGTACATTTGAGGCTCAAGTGAGACCGATTTCATTAACATCTCCTTGTCTTAAATTTTTGTAATATATTCTAAACTCTCACGGACGTTCGTTTAGCTTATATAAGGTTAAAATATTCAACTCGGGTGATATATAATAGTGGAACATTGTCATTTTCGTTAATAACTTTACTTTAAATTGCCTGAAGGAATATACTTGTCGATTAGCGATTTTTCGTACCTACACGTTGATACTAAATAACGTAATAATTTTTTAAACCTTTCAAAAACTAGGTAACAGCATTGTTTGTACGAAACATTTCTCTTGAAACATCGGTGCAAACGGTGAGAGAGATTTTCCAGCAAGTTACTAGAATCCCTATATTGAAGCTGAAAAAAATCAATCACTTTGCATTCGTCCATTACGAGCAAAGGCACTTGGCGGAACGCGCTATGGAAATTATGAATCGTAATTATCATTTCATTTAATTTCATTTTCATTTTCATTTGCGGTTAAATATTGGGACGTTTTTGCATGCATTTTCAATGATTGCATTTTACATCTAAATCAGATCATCCTAGAATTATTGTTTCTTGCGGCATTTCATCCTTTAACTTTGGAATTGGATAATATTGTATAACTGCATGTGATTCTAAACGAATCTAAATTCAAGAATGCTATTAAAAAGTGTTAACATATTTAGTTGTAAGTGTAGCATTTCAAACGGGAAGAGTAGAGTTAGAGTTATGTTAACTAATAAGGTTTCAGTATCCGAAAGGTGGATATGAAAAACATTTTGCAGGTTTTAAAATTTCTTTTAAGGGACTAATTTGTAATAATTTTACTTTGAACTATACTGAAAATATTCACATGTGTAGCTGAAGCTTGTGCCATTTTGTAGAATCAGGTGGCATAGTACGTAAAGAGCAGTGGGAAATTCGATGGGCAAAACCGATTGGCACGACGAAAATGATGGAACGACAGCGCTGTATAAAAGAAGCAATAGCAACCAGTCAGCACAGGGAAACATCTAAAGCACAGCCTGCAATCACCATGCTGCGAAGAAAAACCTGGAAAGATATCCCTAAGGGATACAGCGAAGTTCCCCTGGACAAAACCGTGACGTACAAGAACATCTTGGAAAAATTTGTTGCTTTGAAATTACGAGCTTCCTGCACACTTGAATACTGCAAATCAATTGAACCGCCAGGCTACGTTTGTAAGGTGAGGATAACGTTAAGTATTTAAAAAGTTAAGGTGAAGTGAAACACGTCGAGAAACTTGATAGACGTCGATAAAGAAGATTTTTCTAAATGCTTACGTTGCCGATGTTAGTTTTTATATTGACAGCTGTATAGAATTATATTGGATATTGTACTAAATGGCATACTCCATCTGTCGTTTTCGTACAATAAATATCAAGAAATCGAAGTAAAACTCCAGAAATCCTCTGGGTTCATGCTTTCTGGGGCCCTAATTGACTGCAGAGGACCCCCTCCGCCATCTGTGATTTTCAGGTCAATTAAACTTTCACTCCGAGACCTCGTATTACCATCGTTTTAGCATAGAAGCGTATACAACACTTTTTTTGTCCTTATCCCGTTCAAATACGAGTTTATCGATTACCAGAGTGTTCTAAATTATCGTAAAATTGTCCTGACCCTTTCGATTCTCATATCAGAGCCTTCGATAATTGTATATTGATTGAAATATGAAAACTCGACGCCATTTTGGTTCTGGTCTGGACTGAGTTAACAAATTTTGTTAAAAAATCCAAATTTTGAATGTGTCAGGACAATTCTTAGATGATCAGAAGTGACGTGTCAAAGTGTCGGACAGATTGGTCTAATATCCTTAAAAAAAAGTGTTGTATTCGAATCGACTGATTTGAAGGGTGTTTCACTTCACCTTAAGAGTGTGCAGTCTTGTTCTAAATATATATTGTCGTTATATACGATAGCAACATTTTATACAAAATTTCTATTCTGGCATGTTATGGAAGACTCCTGTTTTTATCTAACCCACTAAATAATGTTGAACTTGTAGAGGTATCACAAATGCTCTAGAAATAAATTTTGAGGAAACCAGATATTGTACAGAAGGCATGGCTTTCTTGGAAATAAGCGACCGCGAACGACGCCATTCCAAGAATTAAATTGCCACTGAAGACAGAATTAAAAGAGATCGAGCGATTCTGTAAGGACGCGCGATATTCTTGGAAATGAGTGTTTGTGGCTGACTCCATACTGAGAACTTAACAATCGAATTTCGAGGACGGCCTTAAGCCAAAGCCACATGCTGTTAAGGTTTATTGTGTAATTGGCTTTTGTTTTAGATAACGATTATACAAGATGGCCGGATTGTTTTCGAATCTATTGGGGAGTCCTTTTCTACGCTCTCTAAGTCTATTAATGCCACAGCACGAGGTGTGTATGAGAAGATAAACGGAATTCTCAATAATTCATGTAAGTGTGCTATCTATATTTTTACCATTCCATCGCGTTAATTACTTCTCTACGTTTCCGAGAACAAACTCATTTTGTGCAATTCCGTTTCGAAATGCCGGCCACATTGGATTTATTTCACGTTCACTCATTTTGATGGAGATGCATCTCGTAAATAAACTTACTGTTTTTATAATGGTTTTGCGCATTCAGCGTTATCGTGAAGTAATAGTCGAAAGAGTACATTTCAGTCTTCCCTATCTGTAGAGCTTTCTTAGCAAGTGATAGTTAATTATTATTTTTATAAAATTAATGCGTCCTTTTTTTTTTCAATTTTTTAGTAACAGTGGATACAATGCTGAATTCGGACATGCTAAAGCTTATGCCAGCACCCGTTGCTGTAAACGTAAAACCTCAAAGGAAAAAGTGATACCGTTCAACGATTAGACACGTGACACCTGAAGTATTTTACTAAGAGATCTATCAACTCCCCGTTTTCATCTTAAAAAATGTGCGCTGTTACGATTTTTTTTTAATGAATCGTTTTGCATATGAATGTCCTGTATGCGCTATTAAATTGAAAGTTCGAATTGTTATGCTGAGATAACATTTCTCAATTTCGATAAATAATTATTTTTTAAAATCGTCATGCCTTCGAATATATATAGGTGTTACGTGAACAGTCTGTAGATGAAATGACTCGATCTTTTTTTAATCAAATTCAAGAATTTTTAACTGAAGTTTTTAACACGTTTGTAATTATTTAAATCGTTTGGCCTTTATAAATTTTATCATAAGAAATCATTTTTTATACAGAAAGTATTCTTTGTATTAGGTGAGGTTACAGTGGTAATGTGATTCTCAATGTATCTTTGAGCGCATTTTGTTTATGATGAAAGTGGGTTTTGCGTACATATTCTGAAAGTACAAATAATTTAAATTAACTCTGATGGTAACATATTTTTGTATCCACTTTAACGGTATGTAAATCTAAGGATAATATAACAAAGACAGCGCTTTTATTTTCTACGTGCTTATACTACAGTTTGTTGTAAACTTTTATAACATTTTCCATTTTAACCAATGGGAGTGTATTCATAAATATTCAACATTATATGATTCTCATTCCATGTATTCCTGTGCAACGTTGTCAAATGACATCTCATTATGGTATATTGTCAACATTTCATTGATAATTAATTTTAAATAAAATTTTATTTCACTTATTGTTGTTCGTTGTCATATCATGTTTTTTCTTCTTGTTCATCTTCGAAGTCGATTTCGGTTTTGTAAAGCTCCTCAAACTGATAGTCTTTCTTTTCAAAATCATCTCGCCATTCTTCTTTCATTTCTACGTCCACGCTTCTTTCCTCTTTTGCAGTGTTTAATTGATCTTTAAGTATGTCGTCGTAATACGAATCGATTTCAACGGTTTTATAATTGGCAGAGAATGGCTTACTACGAGACGAATAACTCAGTTCACCGAAGCATTCCGAGAAATAATAATTCAGCTTATGGTAAACAATCTTTAGCGATTCTTTCTTCGAGAAATCAACATCAGGCAATATCTACAAAATAATCGATTAATAATATATATTTCATAAGAGTCTAGGTTTTAAGGTACCGAAGTTCATGCGCATACCTTTTCCTTTAACTACCTGTTTTAGATCGCGTGATAGTTAAAGAAAAAGAATTATTATTGGAATAGAGACTAAAGGACGAATAAAACTTGTCGAAAGCGAAACTGTGTATTAAGGAATGATCTGTTTCAATTTTGTGTTTTCAAAAACGGAATCTTAACACATTCGCGACCGGCAAATTTTTTCCGTTTCAAATACTGAGTACCGGCGAAAATAATGAAATTCTGAAACTGGTTGCCGCAAACTTGTATCGTGTATCGTTATGGACGTGAATTCACATCAGCGGCAACTAGGGATAGAACTTGAAAAGACGTGAATTCACGTCAGCGGTCGCGAATGTGTTAAGTATGTCTTTGTTAATATTTTCACACAGGCGGGTATAATTAAATTAGGACAATTAAAAGTAAATGAAATGCGCAAAGGTAATTCGCTAGTGAAGCGTACCATTTGTTGAAAGGCCACGTTTGCGTCTACGAGAGTTTTTGTGAGCCACATCGTTTGTTCAACGTTAATTTCGCGCTCCGTGGAGCCATGTATTATCAGGAAAGAGTCGTTACGCATATTCCGCATCCGATGTAGGAGATCTGCCCTGGTATAGATTAGAGGCTTCGTGGTTTCCCAAGGGCTACTCATGTCTGGGAAATGGCGGCCAAAAAATGCGTGGCTGAGATTGTACATGCGCGCATATGGCGATACAGCTGCACCACATTTAAACTGAATTAGAGAAACGCGTTTTGCTCCAGTTAAACATGCCGCCGTGTATCCTCCGTATCCTCGGCCCCATACTCCCAATTTCTTCGGGTCCAACCATGATCCGTATTTCTTGAAAACGAACCTGTTAGCAGAATTTACAGGAAGAAATGCCTTGTATTTTATAAAACGATTTAATAGAAATCCTCCTATTCAGGTGAATGCCTTTAATTATCTTTGATTAATAAAAGTTTGTTACAATCGCACCAAGAACTCGGTAATGAGTAAAATTAAAGTGCAGTCATTGGATAAGATGTCGAATAGTCTACTTAAACGGGTAGTGTAAGAGAGAATTACGTCACCGCATCGCTGTAATCCTGTAAATCGACGATTCCAACGCGCTGTTTTATTGGCCGCAAACGTGTAAACCCCTCGAGATTTTTTCCTCGGCCATCAACCTCCAAAACTGCCCATTTTTTAGCCACTGCTAGGTAATGAGAATGTCCAAATGCAGGACTGTAACCAGCGTAAGGCTCTTCTACTTCATCGCTCCTATATCACATTAAAATGGATGTCCGGTACTTACAAGCAAGGTATCCCAGGTCGATCTCTCCGATTTGATTTCTTTTATAATATGTTACAGTAGACTAAAAACTAAGCAATACGTATTTTTTTTTATCTGCCATTAAACACTTTAAGGGGGTGAGACCACCGTCCAAAGTAAGGTCTGTAAGGGGTGGTTTACCCCTTAATTTGTTTTTTTAAATTGAGAAAATTATATTATTTATTTCCCGTTATGAGAAAGCTTTTCCAGGAGGATTGGTTAAAAAATATTATGTTCTTGTGGGTGAAACTGCCAAATCGCCCCTTGACATGCCTTAGTTTGGATGGTGGTTTCACCCTCTTAAAGTGTTTAATGGCAGATAAAAAAAAATACGTGTCGCTTAGTTTTTAGTCTACTATAACATGTTATAAAAGAAATCAAATCGGAGAGGATCGACCTGGGATACCTTCCTTGTTAGAGTCGGCGAAGTGCATTGTTGAGAACTACTTTAGTTTTATTTTCATGACTTGTTTATCGACGGCGTTCATATAAAATTTGGAGATTGAACGAACGTGTGAAGAATCAGGGGTCGTGGATCTTTTCGGCTCAGGTTTGGTGGAAGGTAGAGCTTGATACGAAGCGAGACATTTGCATGTCTGATGAATGGGAAGTGATAAAAGATCTTCGGCTTTTGAATACCTTCGTAATGTTTCCGAAGGGTGTTGCTGCTGTCCAAGTTTTGAATAAATCTGAGCACACAGAGATACTTTTCACGCCCGACATAGTAACTAACGTGATAACCAGAAGTATATGACCAAAGTTGAACAGAAATAAGTGCTAAATCTATATTGACAATTTAAATAAAAATTAATGAACGTGTGGCTTCTTCTATCATTTTCCTTATATTCTATTGAGAACGATTAAAGGTCTTCAGATAAGTATTAAGGGTACTTTGATAGTTTATAAGCATCTTTTCAGAATTGTATTCGATTTCATTTACTTCATGCCTTGAAGCTGAAATATCTTAGTATGCCGAATTGCAGGTCCTTGACAATCAATTAGGAAGTATTTCCAATCCGTAGGATCCATCGACGCCTTAAATTCTACACACTCCGTCAGAATGCTGTAAAAAAAGTCGTAATTAATTTCACTTGAATGGCAAAGTTACAAAGATTGCAATTTTATAAATGACTTACTTGCACGTTAGACATTGGGGTTCGAATTCGGAGTTTTCGACCTTCATCATCCAAATATCGTATCGAGAGTAATTGAGTTTTGTTGATGCGTATGCGTACACCTCGCGCTTATCGTCATTGTAGTCTATCAGGCTCTTCCAATATCAATATAAAAGATGTAAAACAGTAAAAACATATTGCGTGTATGATTATTTCCCTCATAATGGAGATAAAATCACGCAAGATCTAACAGAAAATATATTACTTTCCACGGGGAATTGAAATTGTGATAGCTGTTGGTTTTTATAATACTTTCTATGCAAATGAGCTTTGATTACGAATTTGGAATGATTCATTTAAACTATTCTATAGGCGCACCATCGTTTTTATACTGTGCAATTTATTGTTCTATCAAAATATCAGATGCTGCATATGCACTTGCAGTTTCGCTATTGACTCATGTTAGGTAAAAATGCAGGAAATAGCAGAATTGTAGGAAGTTTGTTAATTTTCGTTAAATATTTTAGGTAACGTTATCTATGCATATCATTAGTTTGCGTGTATTAAACGATTCACTTACTTTTAAATAAAGAGGATTATGTCGGTCGGATCTGTAACTTATAGTAGTAGGCTGAAAGTCTGCAGTTCGCTGCATTTTATCCCCACCTTGTATAAAACAAATGGAAAAGATGCATTTGATAATATTTGAAGCACTGCAATAAGAAGAACTATTGTTGCACACACCTGCCGCAAGGAAAGGGTCAAAGAATTGCTGTATTACACTTCGAACATGTTGAAAGTCTTGTTTTCCAGGAAAAATCCCCAATAACGTTTTTTCGTCATGTGCAAAATATGGTCCTGGTTTAATATCTGGCATTTGATATCCCCAATTAACGCGTAAACGGTTTTCGCAAATGACTGCTTGACTCCTGAAAATGATGGCATTTTTTTAATAAGTTTACCGGATAATTGACGCTGTAGTTTTATACTTAACTGTTGCTTAATCGTTAGCATTTTTTAATATGCTTCCCTCACCAGTTGTCAGAGCAAAGTGTGTAGTATGTACTCGATTGGGATTCGTCAGAAGCAATGTTTATCCAGTATGAAGCTGGTGGATTTTTCTTCGAGAATATTGCGCAGTAATTCACAATCGACGAGGGCCTGTTGAAAAGTTAATATCAGTAAGGATGAAGAAGAAATAGAAATGAATAATAAAGATAAAAGACATATGTACTAACCCCAAGTCGTTAGTGCTGGACTGCCAATCTACAACTTTTTTTATATTCGTGTCAAGATAGTAATAGTAGTACTCGAGTTTTCTGTCATTCATGGAATTTGTTCTTGCTGAATCGATTTCAGGTACTCCGAATGATGTTTCGAAGTTATACCTGAGAACAATTTA